TTCAGATAAACCCCGCCCTTTTTCGCAGCCTGCGCACGCGATTTAAGCAAAACTGTGCACGGTTTAGCGTTCTTTCCGTTTTGTTTCTTACGGTTTCGTTTCTTTCGCTTTTGTTTCTTTCGGATTTCAATTCTTTCCGATCGGTACGGTCTCCGTGCATGAGAAATTTGACATAAAAAATGAGATATTTTTGGCATTGAATAATGGGAAAATTGTGAATTTCAGATGAGTGGAGGGCAGTACGTAACATACGTACAGGATCTCGAGCAGGAGCCATTTGATGCCATTGATCTTGTTGAGAAATTAGCATGGAGAATGACTGGAAGCGCTCAAACTATCAATGACCCAGTTTCTTTGAAAACGAGATTTGAGGAAGAGATTGGCAGCTTGCAGATGCTTTGTGATCAATTTCAGGTATTTACGATGACAGGGGCATTTGAAGAAATTATCTTTTCAGAGTAAAATTGACACGTTGGAGAAACAGATGAACGAGGAGAAGAAAGAATACGTTCAGAAACTTCAACGACTTCATGAGAAGAATACTGAAGCTATTGACAAAATGAAACAATTGGATCACACAATGCAATCAGTCTCCACAAAAGTGGTACATCTTGGAGATCAATTGGAATCCGTGGATCAACCGCGTTCGAGAGCTCACGATGCTCATCAATTGATGCAACATTTCGATGAGTTCCTTTCCGATCAACCACTCAATTCAATGATTTTCACGGATCCTGACAAACTTTTGGAGTCGGCTGATCTAGTTCACAAGCTATATTCGATTTCTCAGGAACTCAACAAAGATAAATTTTCAACAGTTCAAGCGAGAATCGCTCAAAGATACAAGGTCGTCGAAGATTTGCTCATAGAAGAATTCATTCGATCTCAGCGAGACGAGAAGAAAATGGCCGAAGTTGCAAAGATCTTGAGTGAATTCAAGGGATACTCTGGTTGTGTCGATCGATATGTCGAGTTCCTCTGTCAGTCGATTCATCCACGTGGTGATGGTGGCGAAATCCTAGCTGATTGCCTACAATTATGTCGGACCCAACAACCACGAATCGCTGCTATCTTCCCATCGCCACATACTGTCATGCAAAAGTTGGTGCTGAATTTGTTCACTGGAAGAATGAAGGAGACGATCAACGCTCGTCTTCGGGAATGTAAAGAAACTGAAGATCATGAACATTATCTCCGGGATTTGGCTTCTCTCTATTCGAGCACATTGAAAATGTGTAAGGAGCTTGAAAAACTTCATATCAGTCCGGACAGCGCGTTTCTATCGACTCTCACTGACTCGATTTTCCAACGGTACATTAATACGTATTGTACTGAAGAGCTAAGATATCTGAATGATCAATGCTCGAATCTTCTTCAAAGATTTTACGAATCCAAGAAGCATATCAAGAAACAAGTTGGAGGAGGACTTCACGAACTCAAAAGAGATGTTGCAGCACGTTTGATGACTGTTGAAACATATGGTGGAGAAACGTTTGTGGCAGAAGACGTCGCCATTTCGATTCTACAAGAAACAAAGAATGCGTTTGGTCGTGCTGTTCAGGTATTGTAGTTTATAAGCAGGGATGTTCGGAATGGCCTTTTCGAACTTTTTCGGAATTTCGAAAGTTCCAATTTTTCAAAACATCTGAATTTACTCCAAGTTTCAAAACTATGGAATTTTCATTCCGAAAATGCTCGGAATCCCGTTCGAAACATCCCTGGCTTAATAGATCTAGTCCACTAACTCCTCATTTTCAGCTCTGCGATACAGAAGATCTTCCTCGCCACGTGGAAAACATTGTGGACTGTCTTCTGAAGTATCTATACGGAGACCATCTCGACTATGCAGTGGAAACTGGCTTATCTGGAATCTCCCTGGCTGAATCGAAAACCGAGCCTCCTGCATATTTTTTCTCAATCGTTGCCAAGTGTACTAGCGTGATTTTGCTCATGATGAAGCAGTTCGAAGATCCGATTTTCCCTATCATCAAGTAATTTTTTTAATTGATTTAAGCTTTTCCATAAATTACTATTGTTTTCAGAGACACCATTGCCGAGCCATCTGTATCAAAGAAATGGCAGCAATCGCTTCGTTCTCTGGAAAACAAGATGAGCTTGGGATTGGAGCGACAGTTGAATAGTATCGTTGGATACGTAAAGTTTTTGTTCAGTGAACAAAAGAAAACTGACTTCCGTCCGGATTCTCAACAAATTGACATTAGAGTATCTCCACAATGTCAGATAGCATCTCGATTCCTTGCCAGTCAAGTCGCTGCTATGGAGCTGGGATGCGATGGAGAGAATCTGGAAGCTCTCCAATCGGATCTCGCCAATCGTCTCTTCATTTTCATGCTTTCCCATATCAAACAGTTCACTTATAATTCAACTGGAGCTGTTCTTCTTCTCTGTGACGTTGGAGAGCTGCGATCACTCATATCCAAATGGAGAGTTCAACAGGCTCTTGCTCAATGGGAAAGCCTTCAAGCACTCACTAATCTTCTCGCCGTTCTTCCCGATCAAGTCAACGAAACTGCTCATTCCTCTTCACTCGAAAACGTTGATCGACAATTGATTCATGATTTTGTCCGTCTCCGAACCGATTTCCGATCTATTAAAAACTTCCAGATATAGTTTTTTCATGCTTAATGTTTTATTTTATCTGTCAGAGTTTTTTCAATTCTGTACAATAATCTGTAACATAATTTAGGCACCCTTTTTTTCATGTGATATATATTTGCAAAAGAACTTTTTCGTTTGCGGGTGTTATTTAAATAAACTATTGCTTGCTTTTTCTTCGATTAAAGACGAAAAATAGAACCCCCTAGGTTGGAATTTAACCCTGGTTATTTGCTTTTCAAATATTTAATTCAATCAAAAACGAGATTTTAAAATTTAGATGTCCTCCGAAGATCGAGACCTGGCAAAACGGTTCAAAGAAGAAGGAAACGAAGCATTCAAACAGAAAAAATATCATAAAGCGATCACACTCTACACTAAAAGTTTGAACTATTATGCGGATTCAGTGGTTTTTAGTAATCGAGCTCAAGCGGAATTGAATGCGAATCTTCCTGTTTTGGCACAAATCGACTGTACTGCTGCCATCGAGAAAGATCCAGCAGCTGCGAAAGCTTACTATCGAAGAGCTCAAGCATTCAAAGCAATGGAATTATACGAGTTGGCTCGAAAGGATATGGAGAGTTGTTGCAAGTTTGATCAGAGTATGAACAAGCATGCATATGAATTGAAAGGAAAGAAGAATATTCCTGTGATAGAACTCTCGGCTATTGAAAGAGACGAATTCCTACAATCAGCTGATGCGTTGAAGAAAATAAAAATTGCATTCGACAAGGAGACGACAGAGGTAGCTAGCCAACCAGAAGTCAAAAGTAAAAAAGAAAATCCAAAAGACAAGTATCTCACGAAGCTTCCACCACCACCGAAAGATTACCAAGACTTCGTGGCAGCCGTCAGTTTGCTGAGTAGAGCTCAATCTCTTCTCCCACTTGCCGAGTATTTTTTGGTTTGTTGCTCCTATCTAAAACAAAATAAAAGTTATACCATTTTCAGAGCATCGAGACTGCAAAGTATCGCGACTTGTTCGATGTACTTCTTGACGACGTTTACGCATCTCACATTTTCAATGCCCTAAACTTCCAACTAAAAACAAGTCTACCAATTCCAAAACTCGCCGAACGAATGCTGAAACTCGCTGACCTCAGTCGCTTCGATCTCATTCTCGCTCTTATGCCTGCTTCTCAAAAAGTTTCAATAACTGAAATCTGCAATCATCTGGAGCCAGATGAGGCGTTGCAAGTTATGGCTAAATATCACATTTGAATCTCGATGTTGCACTTGGGTTCAAGGAGACCCCGCACACGGCCTCGCGGAAGGGAACCTAGATTTGAAAATTGGGAAGCGCGTCAAGTTTGGACGCGTTGCGCGGTCGCGTCGCGGCTTTTCGGTGAGCAGCGACTCAACAACGCTTAACTTCACGTTTTGAAATTTTCGAATCTGGCACACAGCCAACTTTTATGTGCGACGAAGCGCGCGTTTTTCAGGTTCCTAACCGCGATGCCGTGCCCGCAAACTCCGGGGGAAAAAAAATCGGGAAAATAAACCGGGGAAAGTGGGCGGAGTCGAGAAAAACCGTGCCAGAGTTGCAATTTAGGCTCCGCCCCCTCATGACCGTGTCCAAATATGCAGAAAACCGTGCGGCAAAACCGTGCCAGGGTTGCATTTTAGGCTCCGCCCCCGACTCCGCCCACTTTTTCCCCGTAATTTGCGGGGTCTCGGGTTCAAGCGAGCGGGTCAGAAAGCGCGCCCCAGTAAATTTAGGAAAAATTCTAAATTCGCTGCCAAATTTCGATGGCTGAGTTTCAAAGTTTTAAATGAAGAGAAAAAAAACGCGCGTTGCAACCTGTTGATTTTAATGAAATGGATCATGATCTAGATCACACCCGCGTCCACTTTAAAATTATTAAATTTCTTCTGGCCTACGAGTTTGCTGGGGCGCCTTTTCAGACCCACTCGCTTGAACCCAAGTGATGTTGTTGTTTTTTTTTGTTTTCCAAAATAAAGTGAAAACGTTATGAAGAGGAAGTGTGTGTTTAGGTGTAAGTATGGATTTATTTGAATACATAAGAATCACCGATTAAAAAATGACAAAATCGGACAGAGATCTCGTTGGAATGACATAAATTAAATACAAGTCTAGAATTGTCGTTAGAATTATCGTTCAGGGAGTCGTCCGAATAGATAATCAGAGTCTGGTGTCCAAATCAGCACTTCTCTTCTCAATGACGTCATCAGGAACAGCTTTGGATTGAAGTCTAAGATGTGAGAGGGTTCGGGATAAGGAGTATACAGTTTGCCGGCCACGTTTCCACTCTCTGTGTTGTAAATGTAAATACTACGGTCTGCACTTCCAACCATCACATAGTCGGAATCCGGAGTCACCGTAGCACGGAGTGAAACGTTCTGTAAATGACAAAATCTTGATTTCAGCCCTCAAATTGATAAATCATACCCTGGGATTTTTATGGTCACAGAAATTATGTACCAACTTTCCAGTGTAGGCATCGATCCATTTGACACCAGCGCCTTTTGTAGACACGAGAATAAATTTTCCACACGGTGTGAATTCAATGTTCGTCCACTCATCATCGTCATTTTTCATTATACGAAATACGCTAAACGGACCCAAATCAAAGGATCTAACATCGAAAAGGCGAATAGTTTCTGATTTTGTGGCAGTTGCAAAAATGATTCCATCTGGATCGAAGGCGATGAGGGCAGGGTGCCCAGAATGGAGAAGTCCCTAAAAAACTCAAATTTACAAATTTAGATTGGATTAGAAGCGCACATAATTATCATATGTTCTTGAATCAAACATCCGGACATCTCCATCTTCAGAACTTGAAATAAACTTTTCTCGCTGCTGTGGATTACTTTTGATGCCACAAATCCTTTTTGTGTGTCCAGGAAGGTATCGAATATACGTATTCTTTGTGATATTCAGTAGTCTGATAAGACCTCCTTTTGTGTCACTGTGCGCACAAGTGTCATCTGTTGTGTACTCCAGCAGGTCAACACCGTATTTCTTGCATTCAATCTGTAAAACACGATATCAAACAACAATTTAAGAATTTCAAATCACTGGTTTTTCTTTTGATCCATCTTTGAGATCGTAGAACAGAATAACGTCTGTCGCCGAAACCATCAGACTACTTCCATCACCCGAATGCGCCAGATCCAAAAGAACATTTCTGGAGTCTGTGAATCGCTGGAAAGATATAATTTATTCTTCAGAGGATTTCAATGTTTCACTTTTGCCGGCCTTAGAGCTTGGTATGCTGCCAACTCCATTGGACACATCTCCGTTCCATTGTTCATTCCTGGAAGGAAATTATTTAAATTTTCTTTAAATTAAGTGAAAAAAGAGCAAGGTAGAGACACGAATCAACAGAATGAGACAGAATCTAATGAAATAAAATGTTGAAGCATTTATTATCAAAGAAAGAGATCCGAAAAATCGGTCGAATAAAATGTAATAATATAAAATTAATCCATCACAAAAAGAGATCATTGTGGTTGAGATGCAAACGCCTTCAGTTCATCATTCGCACACCAGAGAGTCTGGAAAAATTTAGACATCGAAAAAAAAGCATCTGCAAAACTGCTCTTACCAGCTTGGTGTCCGCTGTAGCTGCTGCAAAATGAACGGGACTGAATTCCGTGATGTGACAGGTCTGGTTGTTTGGTGCTGGAATTCGGTGTGCAACCATGCCTGATTCCACGTCATAAAAATAGATAAGCCCGTCGGAACTTCCAACCATTACATGGGTGGCATCTGGTGTAAATGAAGCCGTCAGCGGGATTTGCTTTGTGTTCTGATGATCTTGGAGAACGTGTTTGATGGCTCCAGAGAATGCGTCAATTATACTGAAACACTCATTTCTTTACTCGTTCAAATCTTCGAAAAAGCTTACAATAAGACATTTGAATTTGTGCAGATTAAAATGTACTTTCCACATGGTGAGAATCGCATCGAAGTCCACTCGTAAGTATCTGTATTGTCGAGTGGTCCGAAACTCGAGAAAGGACCTTTGTCAAACGATCTTAAATCGTACAATTTGATTAGATTATTGTCTAGACCAGCAGCAAATAAAAGGCCTTCCGGATCAAACGTGGCGATTGGCGTCGAGGATAGATTCATTAGACCGATGCAGTTGTATGTTTTCAGGTCCCATAGTCGAATTGTTTTGTCTTCCGCAACTGATAGGAACATCTCATCTGATGGAGAAACGTTTATTCCAGTTACCCTGGAAAAAGGAACCTAGACTTCTGTAATAACCCGGAAAGAACTTACATTTTGTCGTGCCCTTGAAAATACCGAAGGTACTTGTTATCAGTTAGCGATAAATATCTGATAGTATCTGAAAATACTTAAGATTCAAAGCGAAAGATTTAGATCACTTACTGTCTACTTTAGTTGATCCGTGCAACGCACACATCGCATCTGAAGCGAATTTGACATGCGAGCATCCATACTTTTTACTGTTAATGTTTCGCGATCGAGTTCCTGCCCTCATATCGTACAAATACATAGAATCATCGTCAGTTGACATAATTACTTGCTCTCCATTTGAACTGAATGTCAGGCTGTTCACAATTGCCATCGAATCAGGCTGAAACTTCACATTTGTTTCGATATAATACTGATTGCGAAGTTTCACCTTTGTTGGAGCTAACTTTTGAAGATTCCCTGTTATTTCGACTTCTACAGATGTCATTTCTGGTCTGGAAAACATTTTTCTCTTGACTTTTGCCTTGAAATTCTCTCAAAATGTCGCGAAAATCAAATTCGAAAAATGATGCAAACGCGCTCTGTTGCGGTTTGGCACGATGCCAAGAAACCCATCGGACGCGCCACATTCATATTTTTGTCACAATTTGCTCAATTTCAGCTCGTTTTGATAGGTTCTTATCAAATTTTGAAAGTTAGTTCAGTTGCTTCGATAACAATGGACGAAGAACAACCTCTAGAAATGGAAACCTTTGACCAGAAAAACGTAAAAACATCAATGTTTGTTAATTGTATGTCATTGATTTTCAGGAATCGTTGCCCGAAGAGTCCCTTAGGAAGATTGTCCGATGGCGCCCTGTACAAAATGTTGGAGGATCTATGCCAAGGTAGAATATAATATAATTCGTATAGCTTTGAAAACATCAATATTACAGAGCAAGGCATGGCCATAGAGCGGTTTCTGTTAAAGACCTCATTATCATTTTTGGTGGAGGTAACGAGGGAATGATTGATGAACTTCATGTATTCAATCCTCGTAAGTCATGAGCTTTGTTGTATTTTGACATAGTATAATGTTCAGAGAAGCGTGAGTGGTATGTTCCACAAATACGCGGTCAAAGCCCGAGTCCGGCTGCTGCGTTCGGAGCCACTGCATTGGGAACAAAGATCTACACTTTCGGAGGAATGATAGAGTACGGCAAATATACAAGCGAAGTGTACGAGCTTCAAGCTACTCGTTGGGAATGGCGTCGGATGCCTACGAAAACAACGGGAAGCGATCTGGCACCAGCCGCACGTCTCGGTCATAGTTTCGTAGCTTCTCAAAAGACTCAAAAAGCATACATGTTCGGAGGATTGACCAACGAATTGAACGACAACAAGAGAAACCTTCCACGATACATGAATGATTTGTACACGCTCGATTTGTCAGCTGCACCAAATGCTGTTATTTGGGAGAAGCCAGAAACCTTCGGAGAACCACCATCGGTTCGCGAATCGCATACTGCAGTTATTTACGAGACTGATACAGTGAACAGAATGATTATTTATGGTGGAATGAACGGCGTTCGTCTTGGAGACCTTTGGTATCTTGACTTGGACACTATGCACTGGACTGAAATTAAGTTGGATGATCCACGCTGCGGAATTTCACCGGAACCAAGATCTCTTCACACTTCTGTGCTGATTGATGACAAAATGTTTGTTTATGGAGGATGGGTGCCATTGATGTCTTCTGGTCCTGGGAACGAACAAGAAAGAGAGTGGAAATGCACCAGTTCAGTCGCTTGCTGGGATATCACTAAAAATCAGTGGATTCCACTTCAGCACTATTGCTCGGATCCAGAAACAATGCCTCGTGGACGCGCCGGACACTGTGCCGCGGCGATGGGCGACCGAATGTTCATTTGGTCTGGAAGAGACGGATACCGAAAAGCGTGGAGCAATCAAGTTTGTTGTCGTGACATGTGGGAACTTGAGACCAAAAAACCAGAACAGCCTGGCAAAATTGCTCTTGCTCGTGCTGGGTTCAACTTGCTCGAGGTGTCCTGGCCACCGGTTCAAGGAGCGACAGCCTACTTTTTGCAAACTGGATTCGTAGACACGAAGGACGGTCCAGCATCTGAAAAACGTGTACCACCATCTCCTCGTAAGCAACCATCAGCTGCCGCTGTTCCTCAGAAAGAAGATGACAAGAACGCACCTGCTGCTCCATCGTTAATCTCTACACAAGGTACCACTTACACCGCTCCAGCCCCTCCGAATACTACTGCCAACGAAGGCGAACTTCCACAAGATTTGTTCGACGATACAGAAAAGAATGAGAGAACTTCTGCTTCACCAAGACCATCGGGTGACGCCCAAGCTGGTTTATCCACGAAGAAACCAGATGAAGGAGCTGGTCAGTCTGATGAAGGCACGGAAAAAGAAGAGGAGACATCAAGTCACGAAAACGAAGATGACGATCTAGCGTGGTTTGATATTGGAGTTATCAAAGATCCAGCAGTAAATGTGACTCACTATTTCCATGCCAGACAAGCACCTCTAGAAGATCAAATTAGAGAATTGATTGATAAAAATGGTTTCAAATGTGTCAACGATCCTTGTTTTACTGCTGATGACAAGGTTCCACTCATTAATGGTCATACATATCGCTTCCGGGTTTGTGCAGTCAATGGACTAGGAAAAGGAGCATGGAGTGAGACACAATCGTTCAAGGTGGGTTGATATTGAAAATACACTAGACTGACTTTATTTGTTTCAGACATGTACTCCTGGATATCCAAGTGCTCCATCGTCCATTCGTATTACTAAATCTCCAGATGGCGCTCAATTGACATGGGAACCACCAGCAAACACACATGTTTCTGGAAAGATCCTAGAATACAGCGTCTATTTGGCTGTAAAAAATCAGTCGGCAAACCCGGCTGATAGTCAATTGGCTTTCATGAGAGTGTACTGTGGTCCTCTCGCCGAATGCAATGTTCATCAACCAAGTCTTCAATCGGCATATGTTGATCATACCAACAAGCCAGCAATCATTTTCAGGATTGCTGCAAAGAATGAGAAGGTACTGTATTTACCGTAAACTCTCTAATAGTAGGTCATCCTATACTTGCAGTTGAGCTCAATTGTATCAATTTCCATAAGAGATAATAAAACTCTGTCAACTGATAAAGTTTTGACGATACTATGACAAACACTATATTAGTTGACAGGATGTTGTTATCTCTCATAGAAGTTGAGATAATTGAGCTCAAAGTACAATTATAGGGCTTCCTTCTGTTACAGTGTTTAAGGTATATAATTTCTTCGAAAATGTTTCGAATTGGGTTTTTTCAGGGATATGGACCGGCTACCCAAGTTAGATGGCTGCAGGATCAGCAAAAAATGATGCCGGTCAGAAGTGCTTATCCCAATATGAATCCTGGTTACGTCTATCAAAACCAAGCACCACAACAAAAGAGAATCCGTTATGATCACCACTAAATGTTTCCTGTCCTCTCTTGTGCATGTGCCTCAATCTCATTCTCTTGAAGATACTCATTGTTTTATTATTTTGTTTATCCCCGACCTTCTATGTTGAAGCATGTCATTCATCCAGATTCCTTATACCCACTCCCTACCGTATACACCAATATCCCCTATAGCGGTTCCCCCACTCTCTTTTCCGCCTTTTATGTCGCGTTTCATATTTTTCCTTTCGAATGTTTTTGATAATCTCTCTCGAAGAGGAGCCAAATAAAATTCCTGCGACTCTCTTCTCTTATCATTTCCATAGCAACGGAAGAGACACGAGGCAAAGCAATGAGGTGACTCAAAACCGCCGCATATAATCCGGCTTGATTTGATTGCTCCCTCTCATTTCATTTCACTTCTTTTTTTCATCCTATTCAGGTTCTCACTTATTTTTCGTAATTTCAGTATTGATTTCAAGAGAAAAAAAATATAATGCTGCGTTGGTTGTTCCAAAGTGATCAAGTCGCTAAAAGTTTCGATTCTCCATCCGAGACTCAAAGTGCTCGAGATGATCGGAAATCGATCGGCGACTTTGCCGATAATATTTTACTGTTTGATTTGGTGATTGGAGAAATCGAATTGGCAGTTGTACGGTTTGAATTGGAAAAAGAACAAAAAGAAGAGGAAGAGAGAAAAGCCGAACGGCGACCGGATTACTCGTGGTTGGTGACTGGAGGAGCACGAAGACATCGGAAGCAGCTCAGCCTTCAAGTTAGTTTAAAAATCAATAACGGAATTTCTAGTATATGGTTTTTAGCTGAAACTACAGTAATCCTGCTCTATTCTAAAAGTACCGTATAACTTTTAACTTTGAGCCAATTTATCTTGGTTACTGTCAAAGATAAGAATGATTTGTCAACTTATAATGTGTTTGTTATAATGTCACAAACATTTTATCCGTTGACACATTTTTGATACCTATTACAGTAACCGAGATAAATTAGGTCAAAGTTGGCAGTGTGGGTTTCCGAATGCTTGAATTAGAGAATTGGAGAATTTAGGAAATTTCGGAAATAAGAACACCCGAATTTTTGGTTTTCTGAATTTTCGAATTTCTGAATTTGGGAGTTCGAAATGTCCCAATTCTAGATTTCAAATTTTCGAATTAATTTTTTTGGAATTTACGAAGTTCTGAATTCCGAATTTGAGAATTTCTAAACTTGAGAATTTTAGAATTTTAGAAATTTTAACTTTAGAATTTTCAAGTTTTAGAATACATTTTTTGGAGTTTCTGATTTTTCGAATTTCTGAATTTCTGTTTTTTTTTTTTAATATTTGGCTCAAACTACGGTAATCCTGCACTTTTTCTGAAAATATCTATTAATCCGTTCGAGAAATCTCCCAAGAATCCAAAAATATCATTTGTTTACTTTCTAGAACATCTTCTTCTAATCGAATCTTCTAGAAATTCGAAATTTGCTTTCTAGTATCTGTTGTTGTTGTCTTATTTTTCTTCACTGATGACGTCTGACTTTTTCAAAATCATATGAAAAATTGAAACCACTTCCGATTTGAGTAGGCACATACTAATCTCCCAAGAGTTTCCCCTATGACATCAATTCGAAAAAAAAACTCAAATCCCACCATTTCCAGGAGAAGAATCGAATCGAGAATGCGTGCGAGCGTCTGAAACCATGTGAATGGTCGAAAACAATTGACACGTGGAAGACGAGAACTCAAGTAAGTCAGGATCAATTTTCTAATCGGACTCTAATCCCCTTTAATCGCCTTCTAGATTTTTCGAAATCTAATGAGATGTGTGTCATCTTTTCTCCTTTTTACGACGTCTGAAAGCAGGCTTCTAGAGGGATTAGACAAGCGTTAATAAGGAACACTTTTCCATTATTGTAGTCTCCCACTTCTCGTGATCAAATCATCGAAGAATTTGTGTTGGCCACCCACGGAACCATTCAAGCAAGAAAGCATGAGCCAACAATCTCAGAAGTGCTCAAGAACTTTGCAACTGGAAAAGCTGGAAATCTTCATACTGTGCGACACGGTGAATTGCCAAGACAAGATTCGAATCGGAGTCTTGCAGAGCTCTCGTTCATTGAGTTACAGGAAATGGTTTAGATGTTTTTTTTGTATCTTGTGCCCCAATCTTTAACTTTGAGACTATATATCTCATTTCCTGTGCAAGATATCAAAAAGTGGTCAACTAACAAAATGTAGATCATGATTTCAAGCATATTTTATTAGTTGATCACTTTCTGATATCATGCACAGGAACCGAGATAAATTGGCTCAAATTAGAATGTTTTCGGTAATTTTCGGAATCCTATTAACGATTTCTGATCTGTGAATATTTTGTAAATACATAATCTTTATTTGGAATACATCATCTTTTTTGCGACTCATAATAAATATTATAATTTTTTTTTGCAAAAATGAAAAAAAAACACGTCGATATTTTAAGAAATGCGCATTGATTTCAGCCATTTTCAGTATTTTTACTCCAGGCATTCGTTTTTTGGATTTCATGAATTTTTGAAAAGTTATATAATCTCTCTTAAAAATCAGGAATGTTGACTCTTTACACGGTGGCGCACAATTACCCTTGGACTGATGAAAACGGGTATATCTTTGGACATAAGTATCCTGAGAGCACGAAAAGTGGTAGAAATATAATTTTATATTTGATTCGAAGCTACTAAAACTTTCAAAGCTATTCTTCAAGTCTAAGTATTGTTATGATTGTCCAAAGATGAACTGCGGAATGTACCTTGTGATTTTCATGAGATGAAGAAACTTTGACAAGCGATAACTCAGCTCAAAGTTGATCAAATAATTTGAAATTTGGCCTGTTGACAGATGAACTATTTGTGTTAGTACTCTGAATTTGAGCACAGTACAACGCTTTACTTAAATTTAAAGCTAGCTCAAACGTTAGTCCGGGTTATAATGCGCCATCCTGTTTAAATGTCCTAGGAAGCCCACTAGGTGCATGTTAGACCATCAACTACGGTGGCCTAGTAAAAGAATATGTTGGCTTCGGAATTCCGTCTTTTCAGAGTTTGTGAAATTCTGAAAACGTATTCAAGTCAAACTTCTATTTCCCTCGTGCTCGAACCTCTCTGAAAAATCTGGAACGTTTACCCTCAAAACTTATGTTGAAAAAGTATCTCAATCACTCCATTCTTTGATTGTTTTCGATGATTCGATAGAATTTTTTGTGTCTTCGACAACATCGACGAGCAATCAAAAAATTGAAGTCAGAGATGGTTTTGGAATATCAGGATAATAGGGATACTGTAGTTTCAGTTTCAAAACAATTTCAATGACTTTTATACAGTTGGAGGCGGAGTCAAGTGGTTGTATTATTGGCTCATATCAATGAAAAATTGGCAGCAATAAAAACAGTGTTTATGTATGTCACACACTTCATATTTATTACAAATTAGTTGAAATTTTCGATTTTCATTGAATTGTTAGTTGTCTCAAAGCTGCCACTGTACTGCTCTCTTGATCCTTGCTGCTTTCTGTGGGCGGAGCCTAAGAAGTGATGTGATTTGAGAAGAAAAGCAAAAAAGATTCACCTTGCCAAGAATTTTATCAGCAATCATTGTGTAGACAAACGAGAATTGAGCAAGATTTTGAACAGAATGGAGTCGTCCATGACGCAGCTGAAGAATTTCAGAATTTCAGAGTTTCAGAATCTCAGAATTTCAAAACTTCAGGATTTCAGAATCTAGTATTTTCAGAGTTTCTGATTTTTAGAATTTCAGAATTACAGAAACTCAAAATTTCCAGAATTTCAGAGTTTCGTAGTTTCATATATCATGAATTCAAAGTTTCGTAATTTCAAAACCTCAGAATTTCAGAATTGGATATTTTCAAAATTTCAGAATTTCAGAACTTCATAACTTCAGAATTACAGAATTACAAAATGTCATATGTCAGATTTTCAAAAATACCAAACTTCAGAACTTTAATACTTTCAGAATTTTTGTATCAGAATAAAATACGGTAGCCTTACATTTTCCAGAGATTTGATCATATTGAATGTCGGCTGTTCACAGTGAAGTCCTGCGTTGACTGTTTCGAAAAGAGCCCACGTTCCGGCTCTTCCACACCCAGATAGACTCATGTAGACGTGCGGATCTGTGTACTTCTGAAGGTACGACTGCACCTGCCAAATCTGTTTCGAATCGCTTGGAGCCGAATCGTGAAGCCAGTTCTTGTAGTGATGGATGTGAACAAATGACTTGTAGCTTCCGTTAGTGACACTGATCACTTTTAGAACCCATCCTTTCCCCAACTCGATTTCCTTAAACTCTCCAACTCGAATCGATCGGTCTTCAAAACTCAAAAAGTCTTGATTCTGCGAGAATATGAGATTTCCTCCGAAATGCTTGTATTCCTGGTCTGTCATTATCAGAAGCACACACTTAACCTTCTGTTCAATCACCATTTGCCAGAAATCAGAAGCAGTATGTGGTAGGGGGAACTGGGTCAAAATTGTTCTTTTTTGACTATTCACATCGAACCAGTTAGCATGGATATAGGAGGAATCAGCCAATTTGACACGAGAGTGATCTAGACATATGACATCGGCGAAACGATTTTTGCTCATGTTGGCCACAAAATGTCGTTTGGTGACATGAGGTGGGATGTAGCATGAAACTTGGGAGAAATGATTCTGAATGGGGTTTTTAAAATTTCTAGGAAGACGAGGCTCTTACAGCTGCAACAGTCGAATCTGGAGATACCACTTTCTCGGCGAACGGCTTCAGAATACTTATTTTGTTCTCAGCTTTATCTACCTCATCTGAAATTTTTAGCTCTCTTCTGATATGTTTCCTTGTAATCAAATACCCAATAGTTTATCCAGATTCATATTTTCCGTGTTCTTCTTTTTTCTCTTTTCCCCTGCTTTTTCAACCTCTTCTTTTGCATCTGAATGTGCCTCATCATCTTTCTCATTTTCCCCCATTTTGTTATTCTCCACTTTTTCTTCTTTATCACCATCTTTATCACTGCCGATTTTCTTTTTCGACAGTTTTACCTCCTCTCCAGATTGTGGAGTTTTTGGGGCTTTCACTCCGTCTTTCTCTGGTGTTAGTGGTTCTGACGAAGCTTTTTCTTGTTTTTGTGGTGTTATTGGTGTTTGAGCAGCCGGAGTTCCTCCTGTTGGAGTCTTTCCATTCTTCACAAGAACAACGCCTCCGAGATGCTGAAAAAAGAAAAAAATACAGGTACAGTAGTTTAAAGGCGCGCGATGCAATTAATCAGCAGGTTCTCGCAACGAATGTAGCAGGCTACGGTCGTCCTACTTTTTGCACACAATTTTCAGACTTTTCAATCGCTTTTCTAGTGGAATTTTCCGCATTTTCAAACGAAAATTCAAGTTCTAAGTTGATAAAAAACAAATTTCTCCAATTCCCACCTCATTTGGCACCGGTGCCAACTGTTTAATCGGCTTGCTCTTCGGTTGCTTCTTTGTAGTTTTACTTTTACTCTTTCTTCGTTTCTTCTGCTTCTTTCGGCAGCACAAAAATCCCGATTTCTTTTTGCTCTTCGAGCGAGATTTCGATGGTTTTCGCCCCTTTTTGTGATGAGTTCCTTTACTTTTGTGCTGCTTTCCAACTTTACTCGGAGCTCTCTTTTTTCTTTCTGAAATGTATTTAAAGTTATGCCTCCGTTCAGTGTCGACTGCTTTAAACTCACTATGCTTATTCGATTTCACTCGTTTATGCTTTTGATCGACCGCTTTTACATCCATGGTGTCCGTGGCGCAGGAAATAATGCGAGAAAATGAGCCGCCCCGTTTCTATTAAACTTTCTAACAAGATCCCAGAACCTAATTAATAAGCACCACGCAAAATATCAATTTTAGCAGAACCATGTTACCGCTTCCGTGGTGGATTCTCGGAGTGGGTCCAGATGAAGCCGACGATGAACAATTAATTGAACCTGAAAAGACACCAGAAAACCCGGAAATTCCAGAGCCATCCACACCATCTTCTCTTGTCTTTCGCACGCCATCTGCATCAGTAAGAACTAAAAATCTGTCAAAAAACCTAGAAGTTGGAAAATTTTCAGCCGGAATTTCTCGCCGAAGCTCAAGATCATTTGCCAAAGGTTGTCGATATGAATACTTTTATGAATGTGGCGAAGAAACGATCGTCGTCGAGAATGGATGACTGGGTTTCGCCGAAAGTTCGTAAAACGAACGAAAAGAAGAGTTTCGTGAGAAACGAGACAGAGATAATGAACAAGACTCTCGACGAGGAGCCTGATGGGTATTCATTGAAAAATCGATGTTTCCTTAAAAACAAAAATTTTCAGAATCCCACTAAACTCGGAGGATTCTTCTCGTTCTGGAAGTCCGATGCCGTTTAATAACGATGTGTTCAACGACACCTTTTTCCTAGATGATAACAACAATCAGATGGCTCAAAACGAAACTGTTGTGGAAAGCCCAAGTCGAGAGCGGGATTTCCCACTTTTCTTCACTTCATTCGACGATACAACGGTTCTTTTTAACACCACTATCACTGGAGATATCGATTTGAGCCAGAAGAACGATGCGGTTGGAGACTGGGTCTTCAAGAACAACCAGTTTCTTCAGTCACCAGATTTAAAAACCGATGGCGCCGGAGATGCAGTTTTCAAACAACCAAAAGTATTTATTAAAATTTTATCGAATTATGAGGTTATTATTTTTGCTTCCAGAAACGCGGAAGAAAACCAAAAGCCGCTTCTGCTGCTACAACTCCTGCTGCTAACAAAACAATGTAAGCGTTTATGATTTATCTTGTTGATGCGTTTCATCCCTTCGAATCCATACCAATTTCGCCGTCTTTACATCCTCCGGGTACTCGGAGATAGTAGAATAAGGTTCACTAGACGAGACAGAAGGTGTCGGCCAGTATGCAGATGCATCAGTGACTGACGATGCTCTAGAGCTCCAGCTCTTCAGTTCAATCGCTTCCAAGTGCTCTCCTGCATCAAGTAGCATACCATCGGCATCCATAATATTCTGTTCCTCTTCTTCAATAATTGTAGCCAGTGGGTAGGGTGGTTCATCAGATAAAGCTGCGTCTCGTTCGTAGTATTTATCGGCGGGTTCAGTAGGATGAGTCTTGTAGAGACCGAGACGAACACGAATTCCTTTCTTGTTGCAATAGTTGCGAAGTCTGATAAAAACGATAATGATAACAGATAAATCAATTAAACTCACAGTTTGTAAAGTTGAATGAATATTGAGTTGAAAAGCTGCACAAAACTCATAATAGAGCTCCCAACAAACAGCCCGGCTTGCCCGCCAAGCTCCGAAATGAATCCAGCTGTACTAGTTGTCCTGATCTCCTTATATTGCTCATACTCCAAATAAGTGAAACTAGCTTCTATTCGGAACATATAAGATGGATCAGGATCATAGTCGATACTTGTGGTCAACTGAACTGTATTCTCGATTCTGGAGCATGCCGGAGTGCATTTGTAGCCGATTGTGGATGGTGTTAAACTGATATTGGCGAAGTTATCGACAATGACATCCGGCTCACAAATCGGAACATCTTTCAAGTACGGTAGCTGAAATCTTATCGTTATCATGACAATATCTATTGAAAACTGACCGTATACTTATAATAAGGAACCGTGCAGTTATATTGGTCGATCAGCTGCATTAGCCATTTATATACAAAGCAAGTAAACTTCCCCTGATATATCGGATCCGTGGAGCACCCGTCACTTTTCGGAAGAAGAATCATTGATTTTTGATAGTAACGAACACGGTTCCAGTCGTTACTGTTCAAATAATATCGCGGATAAATTCCCACCTCCACATTGGAATCTCCATTGTATAGAACTAGTTGCGGCTGAAAACGGACGATAATAAAGAGTCCCGGAGTTGCAATTTTTACCAGCACTCCACTGTTCAAAATCGGGCTAGTCATGTTATTGAAGAAGATGGACACTTTGGATACTTCATCTGTATCATTCTGATAATAGTCATCAACCAGTCTGAAACATCTGCCACGTAGCATCGCATACGTCGGTTGGAATATATCGCAACAGTTGTATGTCAAACTTCCTCCATAACAAGTCTGGAATAAATCCATACAGGTGTATCCGTTTTTGTTGTACATGAAATCGAACATCTCGTATTGAGTACGATTATCCCGCCATTTCAGATAATACGAGCGGATCTTCTCTCTAAAATTATAGTTTTTTTTTCGAAGTTGTGGTAGACAAGGGTAACTTGTAGGTCTCATTGAAAGTGTCTCCATTAGCATTGTCGAATCCGAAACCAGTCATTGCATACTGTAGAATGTGGAAATTAGTAACGTTTTCCATGTAGCCAAGATGGTTGTACATATCTAAAGTAACCATGATAACTTATCACTTTCAGTTTTCAAAGTCAGTACCTTCTAGGACGTTATAGTAATTGATGAAGTCAGGATTCCGTGGGCAGAAAACCATAGTGGGAAACTTTAGTTGCTTGGCCTGAATACTATCTAACTATTGAATGATATACCTATCTTAATTACAGGTAATATAGTTAGCAACGTTGTCGTCGCCTCCGCTCCGTATTCTTTCAGAATATTTGTTGTATTCACAATTGAGTACGCCGCACACGCCGTGATTACTATTGACCAGAATATCTTTTCCATTAAAGAGTTAGACATCATAAATGCGGAAAGACCATGCAGCTCACGGAGCCAAAGATATTTGCAATTGCAGTGAAATCGAGCAATTTTCATTGCTGGCTCGTAGTTTGTCGTGTTTATGGATGCAAGTGTTATTGGGGATCTGGAAAATATGATAAACTGATAAACTGATGAAATAGATAACTCACATGAAAATCTCATTTTCCGGTGGAGGCTTCATACTGTACATGTTTCGAGCTGCGTGAAGTGTCTATCAGTCCGATCTGTTTGATGACCACAGCTAAATTTCTGTAAAAGTACTACATAATTTCTGAAGTTTGATTATGAAAACTACCTCCTGTGACATGATTTTTCAAGATAGTAAAGCCTAGCATATCTGGGGAAATTCAGGAGCAGTGTCCGAATGCCGGAATTATTCATAAGAGTCCTACTATAAGAATATCAGATTACCACCGATATTCGTGATATGTTTGCAGGGGTTCTCCACATAGCGAGTTAAAGCAGGGAAATGGTTCCGGAGAAGAAGGAAACAAGGAGAAGGAGACGAAAAAGGAGAAGGAGAAGAAAAAAGAACTGGAGAAGAAGAAACACGACGACGACGACGAACTGGAGCAAGATGTTGAGAAGGACGTCCAATGTGAGCAAAAAAATTATGTCATGACTTAAAAAGTCCAACCAAAAATTTAGGTCAGGAAATTAGGTCGTGGCCTGAAAACTCAAAAAATGAGGTCGCGACCGAGAAAAGCCAAAAATTCAAGTGACAACTTAGAAATTCCAAAAATTATGTCATCACCTAGAAACAGAATTTAGGTCGTAACCTAGAAAAACTAAAAAATTAGATCATGACCTAGAAAATTTTTAAAAATTGGTCATAACCGAGAAAATTCAGATCATGACCTAGAAAATATGAAAAATTAGGTCATGACCTAGAATATTCATAAATTTAGTTTATGACCTAGAACATTTTTTGAAAACCTAGAAATTCCAACCAATTAGGTCATGGCCTAAAACCGAAAAGGAGGTCTTGATCTAGGTTAGATCATGACCTAGAAAATCTTTTAAAAAATAGGTCATGACCTAGAAAAACCCAAAAATTTATAAACGCTTTTTCTTTTTGCAGCCCCTTCGACACCAATGAGAGCTCCATCGTTGAACAGAAGACAAACTCCATCGAGAAAGGCGAAGACGTACAAAAGCCTCAGAGAGTGATCCTCTCATACTGTGCAATCCCGTCGAATTAACTTCAAATTCATAGTTACACCTCTGTTAGATTTACAAGCTGCTAAACGTTTTGTTTTTGTTTTTTGTTTTTTTCTCTTTTGTTTTGGCATAAAAATGCACACACTATGTCATTTTGTTCTTTGTTTGAAAAGTTGATATATCCGCTCGTTGTACTTATCTCGTTTGGAATGTCAAATAATTTCTCAATTTTTGTTTCAGATGGGAGATCTTTTGTATCTGATGAGCGATGAAGACGTGGCTCTCACCGCTGCACTTGCCTTCACTTTGGAGTTTTTCGAATCGGAAAAGCCGGCATTGAACACGTCACTCGAGAAGAAGCCAATTCCATATTTTTCCTATGAAGATCGTGATACCTACCATGAAGACTACCGTCCACAATGTGAGCAGATTGATATCGACTACTATCCGACGATTTTCAATTATGAAAAGGAATGTGGAGTCTTGGAAGAATCCGAGGTGGCGACGAATTCGGAGTACAGTAATCCAAGGAAGTCACCTCCACAACGTCGAGGGCGACCCGCTTTGGCGTCCAAAGAGCCACCACTCAAAAAATCAAAGACGCGAGAACCTCCTAAGCCAACAAGAGCTTCGTCTCGAGTCCAAATTCTTCAACTGGCACGGCAGGAAGCTGAGAAGAACAAACCACATCGACAGCCACTGCCGAGGAATGCGAAAAAGACGAATAAACCCAAGCCAAAGAAGACGAAGAAACCAACTGTAGAGACTTATTATATGAGGAAGAAACGAGAGAAAGAGAATTTAGTGAATGCAAGAATAGCCAAACAGCAACGAAAAACAATTGCAGAGGTCAGTATTTTTAAACTATCATGATAAGTAAATTACTGATTTCCAGGCGACAAAATCATTGGTCCGAGCATTTGGACAAGTAGCAAGTGTCCAAACGAAAACGGGCCGTCAACATTTATCAGCTTGGCAGAAGTGGCTCTGCACTAGCACTAAATTCGTTAAGTAATTAATTTTTTTTCAAAAAAATATATCAGAACTTGGATTTCAGGGATCTATCAACGAATCCAAGACGTGCTCATAATACTTCAGAATTCCACATTTTCCTTGTGAATAGTGTTACCGTAATGCAGAATACAATGTGCTCCTTCAGAGTAATTATTTTCTCCATAATAATAACAAGGATCATTTTTCAGCCGAGACCACCAGAGACGCACAATCTCATGATGCGGTTCGTTGCAGATTTCACGAAAATTTGGAACATTGCTTTCACTTTTGGGACTACGGTATGGAATTTCTTCTGGTAGACAAAAGTCACCAGTCTAGTTTTCAGACCAACGCCGGAGACGTCACCAAACTTCTGGAGTATGTCATCGGGCACTTCATTGCTTATCCAAAACGAATGAACGCCACGAATTTGTCATGGATTCAGACAAAGCTGATTCTCGATCAACTTTTGTCGCTGATCACTCGAGTTGAAATCGTTTACGATACAATGTTTTTATTGAGTAAAATCCAACACAAGTAATGAATTTTTTGTAGAACCTGTAATAATGGTATTTTTCAGCCTTCTCCGAAAATGGGCCCATCAAAGTCACGAAGCACTGGACTTCAAATCATACGCTCTATCCCAACTTCATTCCTTCTCCATGATTTTGAATTCTCGTTTATTGCATCTCAGCAACCAGCACAGATATTTCCTTTAAATATTTATCATTTATCATGCTATTCTGTATTTGTGATCCTGTATTTCCTTTCAATTGTTTCATTTTTACTCAGAATTTCTATTGCCTTCAGATAGATAAACTGTTAGGTTACAATATCTTCCCCTTCAACTGGTCAAATCAGTTGATGACGTAATCCATACGCATAACAAGCAGCTTCCATGAGATGGACACATTTCAACACAAGACCGGTCTCGCCAAATCTCGAAGCATCATCTTTATTATAATTGTGTTATAAGCGCGAAGTCCAGTGACACTCATCTTTTCCTTCCTAAAAACAGACAAAAAGAAGAAGACAAGATGAAGAAACGATTTTGGAGTATTCTATTTCTATTCACTACATGCTCCGCGAGCCCATTCCCTTGTGGTCCCAGTTTCGTACCTTGCACCCAGAAAAGAGCATTTTCCAGTTTGATTCGTGAGTGATCTTCGCTTTTTTTTTTGATTTTCGTCATCTTTCAGTCAATTTTTCAGTTATTTTTTCCCAAAAATTCGGGAAAAAAGCTGATTGAAAACGTAAATACGGAAATCGAGAAAAAAATCCGAAAAAAAATTTTTCTGGGTTACTGTAGTAGTCGTTGTGGGACCTTCGGCCACGGCCACCGCCGTTTCTCTTCCACGGCTCCGATTTTTTGTATTACTCTTATCCGATTTCAAAGCACGTTGAGAGCGGATATCTCGTTAAATTTGTTTCATATGCGCGAGCTCGAACTACCGTATCTTTTGAGCCTAGTTAAAATGTTTTTTCCTATGTTCTCAACTATTCAACGATTTTTATCGTTTTTTTTTCGGATTGAATAGCAAAAAAAAAGAATTTAAATTATTAAAAACATTGAAAAAACGATGAAAATCGCCGAAAAATTGAGTAAATAGGGGTTCGCTCATGCTCCGTTAATAGAAACTTGACGAGATATCCGCTCTCAGCGTGCATTGATTTCGGACAAGAGTAACACCAGAATAATAGAAACCGATAAAAAATTCGGTCAAATTGATGGTTGAGTCACAAGGTTACTGTAGCCGTTTTTCAATTCCATCCTCAGAACAGAAGGATTTCGAAAACCCAAAACTTCAATAATCCGCTTTTTTCTGGCTATAAGTTGCTCCATAGACATTCCTTTCAATCTCTCAACATCCACTTTTTTTGTGTCATCATATGTCTCGTAATAAAACAAGATTTCTAATTATTATGCAAGGCGTCATAATATGTAGATGTTATCGTTGATAGATCAAATGTTTATCGGCAGCAGAAACAAAAGAAGAATTTCGAAATGAATACATATTTCCAGATTCACCAAACAAGGGATTAAAAAAAGAGTTTGGTTTCGAGTTCTCAAAAGATTTCGAATTGGAGCCAAGTGAAAAAACGAAAAATGAGTTCAAGAAGTCGATGAAACAAGAAGTGATAACTTCAGCTGCTTCTAGAGCTGTTCATTTAACAGAACAGCTGTTTAATGATACGGAGAAATTGATGAGTGATAAGTTTGATGGTGATTGAAACGACTTCGATCTTTAAGATTTCAATCCATTCCAGACACATACAAACAATCTGAAATTGCTTGGATGCATTACACATATGCAGATCAGTATGCAAAATATTTGTCTTTTTCTGCCATTTCCTCTAATGTTGCGGCTCAAATGATTTCAGAGTTGGATAATACAAGTGTTTTGAAATAGATTCCGAAATTTCAGCCAGTCTCCAAAAAGTTTGAAGAGCATGGTTCAGTTTTTACCAACAGAGAATACAAAAATGAAGGAGATTTGTCCAGTGAATCAGATTGAAGAATGTGTTATTGGAAAGTACAGGTGAATAAGTAAAAAAAAACATAAAATTGACGACTTTTCACTGAACGTTTTTCTCCGAACACCGTAAAACCTGTAATAGAAAGGCCTCCATAAGTTTCAACTTTGAGCAAATTCATCTCAGTTCCTGTTAGAGATATCAAAATGTGATTAACTGATAAATTGTTTTTGATATTACCATAAACGTTTTATCAGTTGACTACTTTTTGATATCTCTCACAGGAAAGGAGGGCTGAATTCAAATATAGCCCCCACCCCAATTCAAGTATAGCCCCCCAAAATGAACCATAGTAGAGCTCCCCACCTCCAACAATCTAGACACTTGCAGCAGTTCAAAAAAAGCCCCCCACCAATTCAAATATAGACCCCCACTTTTAAAGGGTCCATTCCAATTCAAAATTAGCCCTCCACCCATTCAATTATAGACCCCCACTTTTGCGTAGTTTGTGGTGTGTGAAGGGTACCGTAACCGTCATGATGCAAATTTTGAGCTTTTTAAAAAAATTTTCTTTGATTTTTTCGGAATTTGTGTCATTTTTCACCATTTTCCTTGTTTCTTGGAAACTTTTTCTGAAAAATACTTTTCATCTATGCATATCTTATCAGAACTTCCAAAATTAAAACATTCTAAAATTCAGGCTTAGGCAAAAAAATGGTGGGGACCTATTTTTGAATTGGTGGGGGGCTATTTTTGAATAGGTGGGGGGTCATATTTGAATAAAGTGGGGGCTCAGATAATGTTCTCTTTTTGGGGGGCTATTTTTGAATGGTTGGGGGGCTTTAATTGAAGAAGGCAGAGGTGGGGGCCATATTTTAATAATACCAGGTTCTTCAAGTAAAGGCCCCCACTTTGTACTGGTGGGGTGTCATACTTTAATCAACCAATTCAACTTCAGCCCCCCGGTCATATTGAGGTGGGGGGGGGGGGTCATATTGAGGTGGGGGGGGCTATATTTGAATTATACCGAAAGGAGATATATCAGCTCAAACTTGACAGTGTTGGGGTCCTTCTATTACAGGTTTTACGTTAATAAATTCAAGGGGACGCGACCCAATATCTGGATATTCATAAATTTTTAACAAGAATTCACCGATTTCTTCGATGAAGATTGTCGAAAAAAAAGAGCTAATGGGCTTCCTCTAATTGAGGGGCTCCTGTAATAGAAGAGCCCTTCTAATACACGTTTTATGGTATTTTAGAAAAACCGAAATTTAACTTATGTGTGAAGATGTATTGTTCCTTCTGTTCATTCTAGAAAGCTAAAATGGAATTTTAGGTGTCAGTGACACTGTGTCACCATAGAAAAAGGGGCGAAGCCTAATTTTGAAAACAAGTAGTGTCAACTTTGAGCTCATTTATCTCGATTCCTGTGAAAACTATTAAAAATTTGTCAACTGATGAAATATTTGTTATTTTATGATGAACAATTTATCAGTTAGCAACCTTTTCCTACCTTTGACAGAAACCAAGATCAATTGGATCGAAGTTAAAAGCCCTTCTATTACAGGTTTTCCTTTAAATGTTAAAATTTTTCCAGATCCTACACCGGACACTGTAATAATGTAAAAAACCCGTTGAATGGAGCATCGTATGAGAGATTGAAACGATTTTTGCCAGCAGATTATGCAGATGGTAGACACTTTCGAGAGCTGCCTCAATTTTTGAAATTCTAAGAATTCCAGGAATTTCTACACCTCGATCTAGTAAATCCGGTCAACCTTTGCCATCATCTCGTGCTCTATCAGCTCTTTTCACTCCATCTCCATCTGGACATGCCACGTGTTCTCTTCTGATTGCTCCGTTCCTTTCATTCATCTATGATGACATTGTTCATGTTCCGAGCAATAGAATTTTCAAGCGTAAGTTCTTTGGATTCGAAAAAAAAACAACAAAAACAAAAAAGATAGAAATAGAAAATACTTTATTCGATTCAAATCTAATATCCTGGAGCCAAACGAGCTGGTGGGCAGTGATCGCAGCTTCCTGGAGCTCCATTGTCTCCTGGTTGCCCAACCTCTCCTGGTGCTCCATTCTGTCCTGGTTGTCCTGGTGGTCCTGGAAGTCCAGATGGTCCTTGTCCTCCTGGCTTTCCATTCTCTCCTGGTGGCCCAGCTGGTCCTGGTTGTCCCGGTGGTCCTGGTCTTCCTGGTGCTCCAGCTCTTCCGGCTGGCCCAACCTCTGTCTTGTAGGTTCCTGGCTCTCCTGGTGGTCCTGGACGTCCTGGTTGTCCTGGGGCTCCTGGGATTCCAGGTGGTCCACGTGGTCCTTGATCTCCTGGTTTTCCGTCTTCTCCTGGGTTTCCTGGTGCTCCTGGTGGTCCATCTGGTCCTGGTTGTCCAGGTGGTCCAGCGTCTCCTGGTGGGGCTTCGCATGGGCATTGTGGTGGGAACAAGGAGTGTGGATCTGGTCCTGGTGGGGCTGGTGGTCCTGGTGGTCCGATCTCTCCTGGAGTTCCATCGACTCCATCGGCTCCATCGCGTCCTCCATCTCCAGCTGGTCCTGGTGGTCCACGATGGCAGGTACAGCAACCTCCTCCTTCAGAATTAAATGATTCAACTCCAACGGATGGGTTGTCATATCCGACGGGTTGATCACGGAGCTCTTGATCGTGAAGACGACGAGCCCAGAAGTCTTGAAGAGTATCACTGAAATATGATGGTTTCAAAAAGTTAAAAAAGGAAAAACTAACCGTTTCTCGAGCCTTCTGTGGTTAAGAACAATATTAGCCAACTTGGCGGAATCCTTCTTTCCTCCAGTCTCAATATCCAACATCTCCTTCCACATATCTCTTGCTCTAGCTTGGCAGAACTCCAAATCAAGTTGAACTTGACTTTCCAAAGTTTGAATGTAATGTAAAATCAAAGGGAAAGTAATAAGGCATGATGTGATGGCAACCGTTGAGAATACCACAGCCACAAAGGCAACTGGCCGAAGGGATCGTTTTTCTTTCTCGTCAGACATCTTCCTATAAAACCTTGAAAGGTGAGACGAATACCACGAAAAGAAGAAACACTTACATGCAGACCAATTTGGCAAGAATGAAGCAGTCAGAAGATTCGCGCGGTTTGCCCTCATTTATATACTGGAATCCGTTCCGCCGCACCGTCCGTTGAGATGACGTCACGCTGCGTCTCTCCGCGCGGAACGGTATTTCGGCGAAACGGCAGCCCGTTCACTTCACACTGTAGAAAGAAGCATAGGAATAAGAAGTACCTGACAGGAGTAGGCAGAATATGAAAAAGTCAGAGAAATTTGTTTGAGGGATGATGGAATCAAAAGTTAAAAAAATTAAGATGGAGAGTGAATGATTTAGTTTGTACTAGCATAAAACTTGAATAAATCGTTGTACTAGGATCAATTTTAGAGTGCAGAAATTCAAATAGTTCATCAGTAAACTGGCTGAGTTTCAAGTTATTTTATCAATTTTAAGCTGGGTTATTGCTAGTCAAAGTTGCTTCATGTCAATCACAGCGACATCTTCGGAAGATCATAAAAATACATTTTTTTTTTGGAAATTTCAGTAGCTTTGCATCAATTGTAAAATTATATTTCTACCAATTTTTGTGCTTTCAAGATACTTATGTCAAAAGATATATCCGTTTTATCAGCCCCTGTAATTTCGAGCTTCAATTAAAAAGCTAACACAATTTTTCTCATGGAAATTGTTTATTTGAGATAGAAAATGATACGAAAAAAATATGGAACCGAAACTGAATACGAAATATAGTTAATTGCGACGTTTTGGTTGTTGGACAACTCCGCCGAACTGATTCTTCTTCGAGAAGATGTTGCTGTTCGATGCCTTCGAGGCAGTCCATAGAACTGGAACTTTCTCCGAAATCTTCCTGCTTTTCGAGACACGCTCCTTCTTTGGACGTTCTGGAGTCACTGGTGGACTCATCGAATCTCTTCTCTCCACTTTCACAACGTAGACGTCGAAGTCCTTCTTCATTCGATTGTAGACGAATCGACGAAATGGACGCATGCTGTCCGGTTTTGGTTTTGGCTCAACGGCTGGAGACAAGATAGCCTGGAAAAATTCGATTTAGTCAGAAGATGATAGCATTATTATTATTCTGGTATGCACAATGAAGATGTGGAAGAGAAAATCTGGTGGCTACGTCCCGGCCGAACTACCGTAATTGACTAATATTTTTTACTTCCACAAATTTTTATCGATTTTTGTCCGTTTTCTGGCATTTTTTAGATTAAAAAAAATTTTATTTTTCGACTTGTTTGGGCGAAAAATCTCCTTAAAATAACCGGTTTCTGTTGTGGGACCTTGGGCAAAGCTCACTAGCTTTTCTATTCCACGGCTCCGATTTTTCCATACAAAAATATTAGACTCACCTTGATTGCTACCTGGGAACAGATTCCTACTGCTTCGAAAAACTTCCTGATGGTTTTCTTGTCTTTCACAATAGATCCGCCGTACTGATCGATGGTAGCCATTGTATTGATTAGTACAGATAGAATAGAGGACAAGGAACAAAACGAGACGATCTTCCGGTGAAGAATGAGGAGATGAATGAGAAATAAAGTAGTCTACCTTTTTGATCTCCAGGTGGGGCGCGAAAAAAAAATCAATGAGGAGAAACTTCCCATCGAGACCTAATAGTGCTCCTGGGAAAAAGGGTTATTTGAGGGCAACCTGCATGGGAAAAAACAATCTTACAGAAGTGTAGTAGAAAAGTAGAAGAGGTCCTTGTAGTCCTAGAACATCTTTATTTGGAAATTTTATTGAAAAATTGGAGAGCAGAGAACAGTATACCGTACTTCTTCTAATAGAAAGCAGCCCAAATCGTCAACTTTGAGTCCATATATCTCATTTCCTGTAAGAGATATCAACAAGTGGTTAACTAATAAAATATTCACCATAATTTCAAAAATATTTCATTAATTGGCAAACTTTTGATATCTTTTATGGGAATTGAGATAATTGAGCTCGACGTTAACGGTTTGGCTCCTATCAGAGGAACTACGGTGACTGTAATCAATCAGAAACAGTTCTCAACATTCTCGATGACATCTAGAACACACAAAATCTTATTCAAAAAAATTTCAGGTGACTTCTACGGAAATGAAAAAGCGATGCCACTTCCATGCTGCCGTGGAAACAACTCGCATCCGGAATGCTTTGAGATTCCCGTTCCGGACGATGACTCCCTTCAATCAAGTACATTTCGATCTTCTCATCATCGTAAAAAGATATTTCCAATCTTCCAGAGAATGTAAAATGTTTACCGTACTCCCGTTCTCTTCTCGTTCCAAACCCAAAATGCTCATTTGGTCAACGACAACAAGCCAACATGGCAACATCCTATCTGGATCTCAGTCAAATCTATGGAAACACAAATGGGTTTGTTAACCGAATGAGACTGTTCAAAGATGGAAAACTTGCACTTCGAGCTGTGGGTGGATTCAATAATCAAATGGGTGTTCCGCCAGCAAATTTGGATAACTCCATTTGTAGATCAAGCACTGGGAAGCCTTGTTTGTTAGCTGGGAATAATAGGTATCAGAAGACTAGGTGAAAAAAATGAAAGATTAAAATTTTCAGAATAAACTTCTTGCCAACATCCGGTGCTATGTACACGATCTGGATGCGTCAACACAACCTGATTGCTGAAAAATTGAGCTTGGTGAATCCCCATTGGGATGATCAGAAGCTGTTCGAAGAGGGTAGAAGAATCACTATTGCTCAATTCCAACATGTCACTTTTAAGTGAGTTAAATTGATACCGTAAGACCTGTAATAGAAGGGTCCTCTAACTTTTAACTTTGAGCCAATATATTTCGCTTCCTGTTAAAGATATTTAAAAAAGTTATCAACTGATAAAATGGTCGTGATCTTATTTATATGTTATATAAAACTAGGCTTGGTCATGCTGAAGGCGCACCAGCCATTAAGGTTTACAAAAATTTATTTTTCAGTTGATTCTTATCCATTTAGACTATTTTCAAAAGTCTGGAGCTCGGCCGATTACTTCAAAATTTTTGGAGTGATCCGACACTTGATAGGCGAGTTCCAGACTCTAGAAAACTGTCAAAACCAACTGAAAAACACTGTTTTATGAAAAATAACAAATGTACTGATTAGCCAGACTTTCGTCTGTTGATCCCTTTCGCCGCGTAGAGGCTTAGTACATGAAAGGGTCCCCGTCCGTGGCCTCCGAGGACCATTGTTGGATAATTTCCAAAGTTCCTTTTCCCTTGTAAGAAGTTATGCGTACGCTTTGTATTGTTATTTGTTCATTTATTTTAATTTTTGATTAAATCTTTTGTAAAAAGGGGACCTTCAGTGGAAATGATTTTACCTAGCCATGAACCCCGAAACATGGCGACCCTTAGGGCCTTCTTGTATTTTTTTCGCATTCGACCAACCAAAATATCAAAAAGAAAATGAACCAAAAGAGTAAGCTTATGCAAAGAGCTTCTAACCAGAGAGAAAGTGCTTGTGAAAATTATCCAGCAATAAAATTCAAAAAGTGGGATTTCACAGAGTGTTTTTTTTCAATGCGTGGACTTTTTTCAACGGAGACAGAAGGAGGGGATGTGAAATTATATTGATTGATTTATAAATTTTTGCGTCACGTGAATAAAAATAATAAATTTTTTTGAAAAGCTCGAAAATTAAATATAATTTAACGTGAACTAAATAGGTCAAAGTAAATTAAATAGTTTAAATCGCGCCGAAGGCGCACCTGTCAGCTTTTTGAACTTTTCGGCAAACATGCTGGTGTTATGATAAATAATTCATTAGTTGACCACTTTTTCATATCTTTAACCGATACAAATTGGCTCAAAGTTGAAAGTTAGAAGGCCCTTCTATTACAGGTTTTACGGAAAGTTGTACTTGGGCTTATGATAGAGTTTCAGCGAGATGGTGCCAGTATTGGTTGGAAAAGAACAATTGAGAGTAATGGGAATCAAATTGCAAAACAGTGGATATGACTCGGGATATGATATTGTGAGTTTGGATTCCAAATCAGAAGAAAAAGTCCTGAAATTCAGAACATTGATGCATCTGCTTCTAACGTGTTTGCTGCCGCCGCTGGTCAATTCTTCTTGACTCTTCTTCCAAGCAAATTCAGCATTGAGGATCGAAAGTTTGCTTCTCGAAGCGAATCTCTTTTGAAAGTAACTGTAGTCAGAATATGTTTTTAAAATAGACAAAAATATTCCAGCACTTTAATGATCCTGCTCTGATCTACGAGAAGGGGAAGATCGATGGAATGCTAAAGTTCTTGTTGAATGCTCCGATTGAAAAACCAGGACTTCATAGCTCTCCACTATTGAGAACTGCTTTCCAGAAAAGTTAGTATTATGCTTTGGGTTTTTCGTGAATCAGAAGGATTCATTTCAGAAGACGAAGCAGATTCCGTGGACATCATCGCAATGGTGATTCAAATGGGAAGAGACCATGGACTCCCCAGCTATCTCCAATGGAGGCAGTTCTGTAAACTCGAAGATGTCAATTCATTCCTGGCTCTTCAATCTATTGTATAACTTCTGAATAATCTCTCAAAATCAAGTTTAATTTTCAGTTCAAACCGTCCGTCAACATCTCCGACTTTGAACGTTTGTATGAGTCTCCAGAAGACGTTGATGTATTCGTTGGAGGGCTCTCCGAGCAACCAGCCAAAGGATCTCTCCTCGGACCAACATTCGCATGTCTCTTCGCTCATCAAATGGCTCAAACCAAAAGAGGAGACAGGCTCTGGTATGAGAATTTTGTTTCTCCATCAGCGTTCACTGCTCCACAAATTGATGAGATTCGGAAGACAACGATGGCAAGAGTGGTTTGTGATAACACGGATACAGTAACCCATGTTCAGCATCATGCATTCTCCCTTCCGGATGACTATGGGTAATTGAATTAGGTTCCATTTCAAAAATTAATAATTCATCTTCTACAGAAACTGTCCATTGAGTTGTAACTCTACCGGAATCATCCAACCATTTGACGCCAAACCATTCAAAGACGATGAGAAGCTAGCAACCCTTCCAATCACCAAAGAAACAATTGAGAAAGCGATTCGATTAGGACTCAAACAGTGGCAGAGGTACGAAGAAGGAGAAGGTAGAAGAATCAGTGCCCAACTTTCTGATTCCTCACCATCTGCTCTTGTATCTCATGCTCTTCTGATGGCTCCAAAGAAGGAATCAATCGATATTGCAAGAACTGCGTCAGTTCTTCGAGAAGCCACAAATATTTTGGTTACTGGAAATGGGTTGAATAAAGATGAGAAATTGCCGGACCTGGATGTAGAGACACTTCAGAAGATTCTACCACAGATTGATATTGGAAGCGTTATTGGAAATTTTACGCCGTTTTTGGGTCAGTTTAGGTTAAGGGAAACTAATCTTCCACTAATTTTGTTTTCAGCTCGAGATCCCCTTCCCAAAGAACAATGCCTTCCTGAACCCCTTCCATGTGATCATACATCCAAATATCGTTCCTATTCTGGATGGTGTAACAATTTGAAAAATCCAAAGTTTGGAAACGCCTTCACCCAAATGCGACGTCTTCTGGATCCAGCTTATGATGACGGTTTTGACACGCCACGAACTCGTTCCGTACTTGGATCGGAACTCCCTTCCGCCAGAAAAATCTCAAATATTGTTCATAGTGACGCTCCAAAGTTCCACGTCAAATTCACCCACATGTTGATGCAATTCGGTCAAATTCTAGATCACGACATGATGCATTCTCCAATTTCTCGTGGACCAAAGAACACAATTCTGAATTGCTCATCTTGTGACTCAGCTCAAACTCTTTCCATCCATTGCTTCCCTATTAAAATCGAACCGGATGATCCGTTCTTCCCAGCACGACACAGTGACGGAAGACCCAGATGCATGCCATTCGCTAGAAGTCTTCTAGCTCAAGTTTCTCTCGGATACCGTAATCAGTTGAATCAGTTGACATCATTTTTGGATGCGTCTACGATTTATGGGTCCACTCAATGCGAGGCAAATAAGTTGAGATTGTTCAGTGATGGAAAGTTGAACTTCACGGATTTGGGATTTAACAAAGAGGCTCTTCCACAAGGAAATCAGGAGAGGGATTGTCGTTCGATTCTTCAAAATCGACAAAGAAGATGTTTTGTGGCCGGAGATGAAAGGAGCAATGAGCAACCAGGACTGACGGCAATTCATAATATATTCTTAAGAGAACATAATAGGATTGCAAGATATTTGAAACAAATCAACAACTTTTGGAGCGATGAGAAGTTGTTCCAGGTAGGAGCTTTAAGGAGCTTCTCAGCTTTAAAAAAATTCAAAACGTAAAATCATTTTCTAGGAAGCCCGTCGTATCAACATTGCACAGCTTCAAAACATTGTCTACAAAGAATGGCTTCCAGTAGTTCTTGGATGTCAGAACGTGGAAAAATGGGGCCTAATGCCGCAGTCATCCGGATACTTTGAGGGATACGATGATCAGTGTGATGCCACGATTTCCCAGGAAATGTCAACGTCGGCATTCCGATTCGGACATTCACTAATTCGTGGAGTATTCACAAGAATGAATGATAACTTCCAGAATATGACAAATCATGTGAATTTGACGGAGACATTCTCCAACCCATCACCAGTTTATGATAAGAACTCAGGACATATGGAATCGATACTAATGGGATTGATTGGAGCAAGCAGTATGGCATTTGATAGACACATTGTCACTGCTGTTCGAAATCATTTGTTTGCGAAACCAGGAGGTCCGTTGACTGGATTAGATCTACCAGCAGTCAATATTCAGAGGGCTAGAGATCATGGTGTACAGGGATATAATGCTTACAGGTATTTCAACACTTCAATTCAAATTAACTAAATAAATTCAGAAAGTATTGCGGTCTTCGAAAAGCATCAACCTTCTCGGATCTTCGTGACACGATGACGTCTGACGCTGTAACTGCGCTCGAAACCGCTTATGCTCATGTAGATGACATTGATTTGTTCCCTGGAATTATGAGTGAATCGCCAACTCGAGGATCTCTTGTGGGACCAACACTTGCTTGTTTAATTGGAGAACAAATGCAGAGATTGAAGAAATGTGATCGATTCTATTATGAGACAAATGATGCGATGGTCAGATTCACTCCGGATCAATTGGTAGAAATTCGGAAAGCGAGTCTTTCAAGGATCATTTGTGATAATAGTGAATATGCAGCAAATATTCAACCAAATGTATTCTTAATGCCGGATGACTTAGCGTAAGTTGGACTCTTGGGTGCTAGTTTGTGAACCTCCGCGTTGATTCCATAAATATAATAATGCAGCTCGATATTTTCAGAAACTCGCCAATGTCATGTTCGGAACTGCCAGAAATGGATCTGAATAAATGGGTGGATCGTGACTACTGTCTTGTGGATGAACGAGTTGTAAACCGCGGAAAAACCAAAAGAATAACTCCATGTGTTACCTGTACTTGCACTCTTGAAGGTCCCGAATGTCATTCGATCACAATCAACGACTGTTCCCGTCTGTTTCGTGATTTCTCACTTGCCGATGTTCAAAAGGATCCCGTATGCCTCATTCAATGCTCTCAGCAACTCAAAAAGCTTTGAAACAACTTCTTTTAATTTATTTATTTTCTCTGATTTCTCTGGTATACCAAGACATGTACATAAATAATTTATTTTCTTTGAAAACACTTGATTTGCAAAAGATCATACATATAATCCCATTGTGTCCCAAAATCAACCAAACAAACAACAAACATTTTCATTTGCATAACCCGATTTCGATAACGGAAAAAAGGTTGTGACTGGCCACCAGTCGTTGTGTTCTCTTATCAGTTTTCTAGCATCATTCGTGTCGATTTGTTGTTGAAACTAAATGTCGTTGCCAACTAGATTCCCGAAGAATTTCCAGCTGGCAACTGCCACCGCTGCATACCAAATTGAAGGAGCCAAAGAATTGGATGGTGAGTTTATCGAGAATCGAGGAAATCCTGAAGTTATAATATCTCTAGTTAGCTGATCTAAATGCTGAAATTTATGACCCGGGGTACCTATATTGTACTCCAGTCATTATGTCATCATATTTATCAAATTCCTGCTAATACTGTTTTAACAAATTGCGTCATTAGGAGTCTAGACTACAAAAAAAAATTTGAACGGACGATTGGCGGCTGAACGGCGGCTGAGTAGAAGCCGGGACATGCAGCTACGGACGGGTGAAAGTCGATAGTCGTTAAAAATATGAATTTTTAGTTTAAAAATAAGGAAATTTCAGAATATGCTTTAAAATTTGTCTTCTCTGGTGACTCAAAATCCACACAACAGATTCCGAATCTCAACTCGAATCCATCATTCCATTCGAGGTTATACATAAGAGTCTATATGACTTTGCATTCCTATTCGGTAGCTGAAAAGAAGAATGGTCTTTTTAAAAGTCTATAAAATATCTCTTTTTATCAATTTTCTCTCTTCTTCCTCTCCCAACACCGATATCATTATTTTTCTTCTTTCTCAATCTCTCCTGTCTCCTTCTCTTTCTTTTTTTTCCGTGTCCTCGGTAGTATAGTGGTGAGTATCCGCGTCTGTCACATGCGAGACCCGGGTTCAATTCCCGGCCGGGGAGAAACCTTTTTTATGCGTTGTCAGTTTCTAAACCCTCACACCTTCTTCAACAGTGTTCGAAAACCCATTTCAATTACCCGGAGAAAACTGTCATACTGTAAACACTATAATAGGACGCTAAAATATCTTGCACTGGAACCGAGATAAACTGGCTCAAAGTTGAAAGTTCTTGAGCATACTCAATTAAAATATTCATTGCCTTCCAATAATTAAACTATTCCAGGCCGTGGATTCAGTACTTGGGATGCAATCCGCTCGGAATACGGGCGAATTCGTGATGCTTCTGACCCAAATCTCTCTTGTGAAAGTCGTCTGAAATACAAAGAAGACATTGCGCTTCTCGCGAAAATCGGCGTCACGAGCTATCGATTCTCGATTTCATGGTCCCGTGTCCTTCCGAATGGAACACTTTCTGAAATCAGCGAAGAAGGCGTCCAATATTATCGTGATGTTTGCCTCTTGCTTCGAGACAATGGAATTGAGCCAATTGTATGTTTGATTCTAAAAAAACATGAAAACAGAGAATAAGGAAAACATTTTAGGTCACACTTTTCCATTTCGATATGCCTCTGGCTATCTACGACAATGGAACATCATGGTTGAACAAGGAAAATTGTGATCATTTTGTCAATTTTGCGGATTTGTGTTTCCAAAAATTCGGGGATTTGGTGAAGACGTGGATTACATACAATGAAATCAACATGCAAGCATGGTCTTCAGTTGTGAAGCTTACAGGAGAACAATGGCTTTGTCCAGATAGACCAGAAATCGAGAATCATAATCAATCGCCATACATGTTAGTCAACTATTTGAGATTGAAAATACGCAACAAATGCTCTAATTACCGTAGTTTCAGAGCTCTCAAAAACATGCTTCTTGCTCATGCGAAAATCTACCGTAACTATGAGAAAAACTACAAGAAGATCCAAAATGGAGTTGTTGGAATCACCAACGGAGGTCATTTCTGCTTCCCGGCTTCTCATTCTCCAGAAGATCAAGCGGTTGGTTTGTTCTTTCTTATTTTGAGTTTTACGTTGAAAAGTTTAGGCTTCCGAGAGAGCTCTTGACTGGTTTTTCAAGAGCACCATTGACCCGATTCTCTCTGAATCTGGAGATTTCCCAGTGTCTATGAGAGAGAACCTTTCATTTTTGCCAAACTTTACCGACGACGAAAAGGCAATCCTTAAAGGTTTGTGAAGAATGCTAATTGGTATTGAACACGATTTTTTATTGAAATGATGATTTAATCAATTGGAAATATGGCTGAAAAGGTGGATAAAATATATAGATTGTTAGTTATGAAGTCTCGGTTGTTGAACAAGTCCGTTGAACTGTTTCTTGCTCAAGAGATTGACTTTTGGCGCCTGTGGAGCAACCCATAAAACTGGTGTCTTCTTTGACACCTTCTTTTTCAATCCTCGCTTCTTTTTTGGAGCTGACATCGGTTTGGCTGGTTTTTTCATTTCGATTTCAATCTCAATATCGAATGCTCTTTTCATCGATTCATAGATGTGGAAGCTGATTTCATTCTTCTCGATTTCGGATTCCGATGGAAGAATTGTGGATGGGGTGTGACGAGTCTAGGAAAAAGAAGTTTCCGTAAAACCTGTAATAGAAGGGTACTCTAATTTTTAACTCTAAGCCAATCTATCTAGGTCTCTATCAAAGATATAAAAAAGTTATCAAGTGATAAATTGTTTATCATGATATAAGACGGTAGAAATTTGAAGAATTTTTTTCTCATTTCTGAAAACCGCAATTTCTCAAATTTTATGTACAAAAAGAACAGAGTTAATAGAAAGAACAAAAGTTTTTCGAAAAGTTTGTCTGTTCCACAGACTTCGTCCAGTTTCGCCTTGGCTTTTTACAATTCAAAAATTTTCTGTATGAATATTCCAGAAATCAGTCAAAGTTATAGAAAATGTTTATTTGATGGATCTGAAAATGATCTTGAACAGAGAAATAGGTGGACAAATTAAAATTGGACAGTGTGCACAGTTGGGACAGTGGTAGTAGTTTGCTCAAATCCGGGTGACAACCAATCTTCCTGCATTTTGAACTTCTTGATGCTCTGTGTCTTCTTTTTTTCTACAGGTACAGAATCGGTTTGTCTCCCTATTTTGTACTTTTTTAAAGGAAAAAGTGGTCATGCCAAATTCAAGTATTATTTGAATTGTGCCACGAGAGGGGACAAAATCGGTAGGCAAACCGATTCTGTACCTAGTGAAACAATTCAAATTTTCTCTGATTTCACGTGTCTTTTTGTGGATTTTGAAACATTACTCATGAAATCCGATTTTGAACCAATTTTTTGATCGACACTAACTTTCCACAATACGCTTATTTGGATGAGAGTGATATCTGAAATTTTGGATATTTTGAGACTGCTATCCAATATCCAATCAGCTAGCCAACAGTCAATCCGATATCAACAACAAGTACCATCAAAAGATGAGAAAGAATTCGGATCGAGTTTACTTACTGTTAACGTCGGATTAGCTTCAAAATATCCAAAATTTCAGATATCACTCTCACTCAAATAAGCGTATTGTAGAAAGTTAGTGTCGATCAAAAAATTGGTTCAAAATAGGATTTCATGAGTAATGTTTCAAAATCGACAAAGACACAAGACACGTGAAATCAGAGAAAATTTGAATTGTTTCACTAGGTACAGAATCGGCTTGCCTACCGATTTTGTACCTCGTGGCACAATTCAAATAATACTTGAATTTGGCGTGAACACTTTTTCTTTTAAAAAAGTACAAAATCGGGAGACAAACCGATTCTGTACCTGTAGAAGAAAAGCAGGTACAGAGCATCAAGAAGTTCAAAATGCAGGAAGATTGGTTGTCACCCGGATTTGAGCAAACTACTACCACTGTCCCAACTGTGCACACTGTCCAATTTTAATTTGTCCACCTATTTTTCTGTTTAAGATCATTTTCAGATCCATCAAATAAACATCTTCTATAACTTTGACTAATTTCTGGAATATTCATAATTTTTGTACAGAAAATTCAGACATCTGGTGAAACTGAAATAAATGCTACATGGTACATGAAATCATCAATTTGAGCTGTTTCTATACACGCGAAAAAAATTCTTCAAATTTCAACCGTCTTATATCAACAGTGTTTTTTCAGTTGACACTTTTTTGATATCTTGCACAGGAACTGAAATAATTTAACTCAAGCTTGACAGTGTGGGGCCCTTCTATTACAGGTTTTGCGGTATTTTTGAAAGAAAAAAAAGATGCTTACCATGATTTTGACGAGTTCGAAGTATCCCTTGTTACGTTTCTTGACATGATCTATGACTTTTTGAACAACAGGCATCGCGATGAATCGACCGATTAGTACAGATAGGGAAATACAATAGAAAAGAAGAAGAATAATATTCTCTGGCGGACTGGAATGATGATTTTGATTTTTATTACAAAAACGCGCGGGGAGGTAGATCAACAGGCGGTACCACGGTAGATCAAAACTTCAGTTTTTGATCTAGAGCAATTTCTGAGATTACGATAAATAATTTTCAGGTAGCACCGACTTTCTTGGAATCAACTACTATTTGAGTCATGTGGTCCGAGGTGTTAGCGATAATGAAACCCCACCATCGCAATCCGAAAGAGACGGATCATATGCATTCGTTGAAGGAAAATGGGAAAAGTCTCTAGTCACCGTGCAAACTTCAATAAAAAATAGAAATTTCAGAATCTGCGGTGATACTTGGATTCGTTATGCTCCAGACGGATTACTGGCTCTCCTGGAGTACGTCAAAGAGAAGTATAACAATATCCCGGTGTTTATCACGGAGAACGGATGTCCAGACATCGTTGGAGAGGAGAAGAAACCTGTGGAGGAGATTCTGAACGACACACATAGAATCAAGTACATCACTGGACATTTGGAAGTGGTAGCGAAAGGTAAAAATCAGGTGAAAAAAATTTCTCCCCGGCCGGGAATTGAACCCGGGTCTCGCATGTGACAGACGCGGATACTCACCACTATACTACCGAGGACACGGGAAAAGAGAAAGAGAAGGGGCAACAGAAATAGAAAAAATATGATAACGATGTTAGGAGAAGAAGAAGATTGAAAATTGATATTTTCCTTTTAAGCCATCGACGAGGGTTGCAACGTCATCGGCTACACATTGTGGACACTCATGGATAACTTCGAATGGGATGACGGATTCGAATTGAGATTTGGGATCTGTCGTGTGGATTTTGAGTCTCCGGAGAAGACAAGAACCATGAAACAATCGGCGAAATTTTATCAAAATTTTATTCGCGAATTCAAGAAGCATCATAATCTCTTGTAATCTTTTTTCTTCCGAAAACTTTTTCTGATTATAGTAAAGTAATTTTTTTTCGTTTTCATGTCAATTAACACGGCATCGCGGAAGGGAACTCGAACAATTTTGGGCGCGTCGCGTGTTGGCGTAGCGGTCGCCCGAACTTTGCAACAGGTGCAACAGAGAAACATTTCTTTAGGTGCCAGTCCGCGATGCCGTGATATTCAAGCGATAGGAAAGTAACAACACGTTTAAGTCGAAAACCGTAGCAATAAGAATGGAAACGGGGTGGTTAATTAGAAAATAAAAATTTCTAATAGAAAAAATGAAATTAGCAATCAGACACAGATCGTTCTACTTGTTTTCCATCTGGCTCAATTAGCAAACTAGATGCTCCACACAGATTCGTTGGCTCTGCTCCAAAATTTGACATTGAAATTGTCGCCGTGGATTTGCCACCTCTAGAGTGCCGTCGAAGAATCGTGCTCCGGACCCGTTCATATCTAAAACTTCGGAATTTTACTGTCTGAATGTCTGGAGTAGCTAGCTCACCTCGTTTTGCATGGCATCAAAAGTATACTTTTGAAAGCTCTTCTATATTTATGACTGTAGGCAATATAAATTATGGGATTCAGCGAGCTAGATAATAGGGACATCCATTGAAAAATTGGGCGGATCAGCTGAAAATTTTTAGATTCATATTTTCAAGTTTTGGTTCCTATTTACCATAGAAGTGATACGAAACACTTCGGATCTCTGATCGGCAAAAAAGAAAAAGTAGGTGAAAATACAGTAGAGAGGAAGCCAACAACAAGCGAACACAATGATGACAGTGAGCATCATTGTAGCTACCCGGAGCTTTACTCGGTCTTCTCGCGCCTGAAATTTTTTTTTACAAAATAAAAAATTGTAGAGAGAAATATAATACCCTTGCATCAACAGCTAAACTTCTATGAGTGGATACGGTAATAAAGATTTTCGTGTAGAGACCCGATATTAATCCGAACGGAACAATGAAAGCCAGAAGGAGATTCACAAAAAGGAAGTATAATTTTTGATCTGTTTGTGATGTGCATAACCGATAGCCGTAGTTACCCTCCTGCCATACTATCTGAAAACTTTCCTAATTAAAAAAGAAGTTATCATAAAGACCCACCAAATCATAGTTATACCAATTGGGGATTCCGAAGATGGCAGCCACAAACCAGACAGTGAAAATGACGTATTTTGTGTACTCTCGATCCCAGCTAGTATTGTATTTCAGAGTATGACAGATTGCCAGATATCGATCAGCTGTTACTGCGACCAAAGTGTAGACAGAAGCGAATGATGTTGATGCATTCGCCCACGTGGATAGACGACAGAAGAATTGACCCCAAAGCCATTCTGGAAAACATACTCCGACTTTTTGATTGTAAAAAATGATGGAAATTAGGTTAACCCTAACAATGATACATTGTCCTTAAAAATCTTTCGATGATTTTTTTGAATGTTTTTTGCAATAGTATTAGAAAAATATATATTTAACTTTTTAAACATTTTAATGCATTGAAAATTTTTGATAGCCCTCTTTGAAATCGAAAAACTAGCTCTAGATTACCTTAAACATTCCAATAGAACGCCACCAAAATCGTCAACTTTAAGCTCAGTTATCTCACTTCCTGTAAAAGAAATCAAAAAGTGATAAACTAACAAATGTTTATCATAGTATCAAAAATATTTTATCAGTTGACACATTTTTGATATCTTTCATAGGAACCGAGATAATTGAGCTTAAAGTGCACAGGGTGACATTCTAATAGAAAACCACTTTAACAGAGTGCCACCCAAACCGCTTTGATACCTTTGATACCACATACCACTTTGATACCACATATATGATTTTCTGTGGAAGATATCAACAAGTAATCAACTAGTAAATTGTTTATCATAATGTCACAAACATTTTATCAGTTGCCCAATATTTGATATCTCTCAAAGGAGCCGAGATAAATTGGGTCAAAGTCGACGATTTGAGTGGTACTCTATTAGAGTGTTTACATCTCAATCGCAACACTAGAAAACGTTTTAAAAAGGAAAACCAAAAAAAGTTTGACCCCGGTAGGGTTCGAACCCTTGATCTCTAGATCGCCAGTCACCCCTCTACCCAATTGAGCCAATAATACAAAAGCCGGCAAGAATGTAATTGCGATGAGGAAATTTATGAATTTTAGTCCAGCTTTTTGATAGTAATGCAAATTGAATCAAAAATTTGAAGTTCCAATATTCAAATGAAAATATTCAAATAAAAAAATTACCTGTGAATATACTGTTGATCAGAGTTGTCGGAAGACAAATCCACAGAATGAACAAATCCGCCAGAGCCAACGAAAGAATCAAATAGTCAGTGGTGATGTTGAGATTCTTATGAGCCCACACTGCCAACACGACAAACGTGTTTCCCAGAACGCCGGTGAAGAATACGGCTCCATAGGCTACAGTATACAGAACAGTGAGTTGATAAGAGTGTCTAAGCAATGGGACACCGTCGAATTCCTCTTCAAACAGTACAGTAGGCTCAGTCGATGAGACGAAAGACGAAGAGTTCATAGTAGAGAGGAGCCGTCTTCAATTTGACATTGGTATAGAAGTTTTTTTGTCTGGAAAAGGAAAGAAAGAGTTGATTGAAGAGGAGACAAAAGAAGAAGATGAAGATAACCCAATGACGAAATGCATTAGTCGGGGCCCCCAGAGGCATGTTTCTCAATGAATTAAGGACAATCAGAGGGAAGAAGGAGGATTGGGGCGGCGGTGAGCTCACAGAGCCCAGATCACTTTTAGAAAAAAGAAAGAAAAAGAAAAATTTAGTGAGAAGAAGAAACCGCCTTTTTTTCTCGCCGCCAGGAGGAGGACAAGGGGGAACTATATTGAGGTAATTAGGCTACTGACTAATATTTAGAGAAGAAGACACTGGAAAAAAGCAAAACATTTATAGAAGGAAGAGAGTTTGTCCATGCGGTCATGATGGGATAAGAGAGAAGGAAGCGTCATCCGGAAGAAGTCACGGGTAAATTGATTACTGGTCTCGGAAGAAGAAGACGAAAAAGAAGGAGAAGAAGAAGAAGATATCGGTCTCTCTTTTCAAGCGTTCGCTTTTTTTCGGGGTAGCAGTTTTCAGCTCCAAAACGCAAGAAGACGTACATTTTTTCAAAATTGGACACTACAAGTTTTTTTTGGTTCGGAAAAAAAAGAAGAAAAATATGTCATATGATTTGGGGGATAGTTTTTAGCCACGACTGATATAGATGGTTGGGTTGGGAAAACAGGAAATTAATGAACTTTTTGGATTTATAGGACAGTTTGATGAGGTAAGAATAATGATAAACAAAGAAAGTTCTAGAATGAGATAGGTGAATGGTTCAGAGATGAGGATATGAGGGGGCTGGAATAACTGGAATATAAGGAAAAAATGGTAATGAAAAAGAAGGAATCGAAGTACCTAGTCGGGATTTTAGACTACATGGAATGGGACTTTTCAGAAAATCCAAACTATGGTTTGCCCTCAAACTTTTTCATTTTTTAAATACAGGGTCTCGGACTGATAAAAAGGTATATCTTTAAACATAAGTATCATGGAAGCACGAAAATTGGGAGAAATATAGATTTACGTTTGATTCAAAGTTACCGAAATTTTAAAAGCGATTACTCAAGTCTAAGTATTTTTATGATTGTCCAAAGATTGTCCGAAGAACAGCGCAATGTGCACGCCGTTGTGATTTTCATGAGACGCATGTCTCAAGAACCAAAAACTTGTGATTTTCATGACACGAAGCAACTTTGACAAGCGATAACTCAGCTCAAAGTTGATAAAATAATTTGGAACTTGGTCAGTTTGCTGATGAATTCTTCGAATTTTCGTACTATAAGTTTGAGAAAAGAAGAACGCTTTACTCTAACTTCATGCTAGTACAAACATTAGTCCAGGTAATTATGCGCAACCCTGTATTTTTGAGCGAATAATTAACATATTAGGTTGGCAGGAAAGTAACTGTCCCTTGTTTTATTTGTGAATAATACAAAAGCAGGAATATTCCAAGATTAGCAGTATGCACCGTCGTGGTCCACGACATGATGGCAATGTTCTGATAACTTGTGGATACAATACCTTCAAAAGCCAGCTAGCCGCGAATCAAAGTATTCATTTTTTTTTCCTGTTTTTCACATAAATGGTGCAAAATTTCGTATTCTCTAGATGAGGTTGTATCTCTCCGAATATCTTATAATCTGATAGAGCTCAGTCGGGACTATAAGTAGGTAAGGGAGAACGGTCCCGCTGAAGCTGCTCAGGTCTGACTTGACTGCAGGTAAAAAATGAAAAAACCTCATGTTCTCGGAAAGTCACGCCGTACCTGAGCCGCTTTGGCTGGACGGTTCTCCTTTACCCCCGTTAAAGACCTGATTCAGCTCTATCAGATCATTGGTTATTCAAAAGTATACGACGTCATCTGGAGCTTAAGGGCTTTAACACAATTGATGCCTGAAAAAATGGACTGGAGGGATACTTTGACTTGCCACTAGCTGGCTTTTGGAGGGATGGTACCCACGAATTACCTGAACATTGCCAACATGTTGTGGATCACGACGGTGCATATTGCTAATTCTGGATTATTCTTGTGTTTGTGTTATTTACTAATAAAAAAATGGACAGTTACTTTCCTGCCAACCTAATAATTTTGCGTTGAATTCAAGCATATTTTTACCAGTTTAGGCGGAGATTCGAAATTCGTCCAAATGTTGCGAGATAAAAAATCTTACATGAGGACATTAAAAAATGCGGGCTCTTGGATAGATACGGGCCAAATTTTTGTGTATGGTTTATAGGAAAAAATTCCGTATTCTGACATTTTTCAATAATAATTAGAGGATGGGTTGTATGAAAATTTTATAATACTTTTGCTCAAAGTGAAGGGAATTATGGTTATTTTAATCCATAGCATCGTTGTAAAAAAATTTCAAACATCTGAAAATATGATGCTCAAAATTGCCGGAAATGTTATAAGGTATTAATTTTTGGCCAAAACTCGAGTCTTAAAATTAAACATGAATTTAAAAAGTTACACAAAAATATGATATCTACAGATTATCCTACTGTTCTGACACTCCGAAACCTATACTAACGTATACTGTAGTTAGCTAACTCCAATGAAGTTCACCAGGAAATAAAGTTCATTTTTTCTGTTTCAAAATTTGTCCTCTTTTTCACAAAAAAAAACTGAAGAAGAAACGAAAATGGGTTTGAGACCTTTCTCTATTTTTCGTCAATCCGCTTTCTTAGTCACCTTCTTCTTCTTTCCTTAATTTCCATATATGGACTCCCAAGAAGAAGAGTTTCTGCCAGATTCTCAGATTTGGGCGGGAAACGAAGGGGGGCGAGTTAATGATGGAAAGGGAAGAAAAAAGAGAAAAGCACAAGGTGAGAAAATGGAAAAATGTTTGGAGATTTACCCCGGGAAACTTCTATTGTTTCTCGACATTTTTAGAGAAGAAGAAGGGGGTCAAATAGTAGAAGAAGAAGTCATGAAGTGGTCCCCAATGGGAGAGAAGAGCTGTGAGGGTATGTGACATGTACACCTTTTGATGTATTGGTTCTTCTTCTCATTTTTGGCAATGTTCTAAAATATAGAAGAAGAAGAAAAAGAAATTGGTCATATTTTTGGGAAATGAGGCACAAAAGAGGAGAGTGATGGAAGAAACATTTTTTGTATGACTCTTTTCACAATTATTCAGGACACGGAGTAACCAAAAATCAGAGAAGAAAACCATTGCAAATCTGATAGAAAATACTGTCTCCACAGGGTTCCAAAAGTTCGAAAATTCGATCAAAAAATTATTAAACAGAACTCTATTCGGCTTCTTGACATTCAATCAACGCAAAAATGTCAAGTTCGTTGCAGAAAAACAAAATAAGGGAAAGACAATTTTGAGAACTTGAAGATGTTTTTGCGGACATTTTCAATGGTTCTGATTGTGAGAGAATCGAGTGTTTAGGAGCATTTTTTGAACGTTTTTTATGAAAACTTTTGAAAAATCCCAAACTTAAAAGTGAAGAAAATATAACAAAATTTTATGCGACTTTCTGGAAGATACTGGATTTTTAGGCCAACCGCACACTGTCAACTTTGAGCTCAATTATCTCGATTTTTGCAAAAGAAATCGAAAATGTGTCAACTGATAAAATGTTGCTAATATTATGATGAACAATTTATCAGTTGACTACTTTTTGATATTTTTTACAGGAAACGAGATATATGAGCTCAAAATTGACGGTTAGGATGCATTTCACAGGAGGTTTTTATAGTAACAAGGCTTTGTGGACGATATTGGATTTCAAAGCCTAAACCAATTTTTACAGGCATTTTACCAATTTACATGTAGAATGTCTTCCAGAACCTCTTACTAAAGATAACATCAAATTTTGAACGCTCTAATCTGTCAATCATTTTGTGAAGATCGATTAAAGTTTTGTTTGAAATTCCGTTCATATGAGTCCCTCGAAGGGTTGAACTTGTGGGCGCATTGTTGAAGGTGCCGATGCTACCAGCTGAGCTAGCTGAGGCAGCTTAACGATGTAATTTAAAAGCAGCAGGCCAACATGCTGTGTGAAGACTAAACACTGTACACCATCATGTCAGAATGCATATCCTAATTTAAAAAAAACTCCGAAAAATTGTTTCTCTCTTCGATTACAGTAACCCGGAACTTGAATCATACAGTAAGACTGGTGTCATCTGGACTTGAATAGAGTTTTCGCTAGAACCTAATGATTCAAGGATTCTTTGAATTCAAGTTTGATCATTTTTATTATCAGAATTTCCCTCAAATTCAACCTCCATGCCTGTCAATGACACTGAGATTCCCGTGATCCGTTTTTTTTCTCTCGGACCCCTAAAAAAGGCGTCCAAACCGAAAACGTGGATTTGAGAGTAGCTCGCGCAGTCACAAAAATTCGACGGGCATTGGTGTATATGTATAGTTACTACAAAATCTAGTTATCCACCCCACATCCGCTTTAAAAAAAATGCGAGTAGAAAAAGGAAGAAAAGTTGCCGGGGTGTCTTCTTCTTCTTTGTCAACAATAACCACCGGAGAAAAGATATCCTGAGTTTTTTCGAAAAAAAAAAGAAACAGACAGGATAAAATATGCTCGGGTATCTCAGAATCTTGGGGGAAAGAGTAGAAAAAGGAGTAAGAGGAGAAGAAGAAGAAGCTGAAAGTGGCTTCGTTATGACGATACATGATTCAGATGAAGCTGACGGAGAAGAGTGGAGCAATGTGATGAGGTTGAAAAGTTTAATTAAGTTTTGGTCAGAAACATACATACGGTTCTATGAAAATGTATAAGATGTTATCGTTCTCAGAAAGTTTGGTGGGAGATCCGCCCACTTGGGCATTTCTGAAAAATCGTTTGGTATTTTCTTACTAGATTAGATTGAAAATGAAGTTATAGGTGCAGAGGAAGTATTCCGATAAGTTCAAAGTTTCTTTCCCACCTACATGCCAGGTCTCACTAATGCAGAATAATGAGATTCAAGACGTGCAAAATAAAAAATTTTTGAGTGAAAAGGGAAGAGTATTAGGAGATGTTACATTGCTCAGTTAAAGATTTTGAGTGAATTTTCAAGAAATTCAAGAAACCCAAAAAATTAAAGAAATCTATAAATCCAAAAAATACAGAAATTCAAAAAATTTACAACACTTTTCTAAAAAAAATCAGAAATCAAAAAATTCAGAAGTTCAGAAATTCAGAAGTTCAGAATTACGTAAATTCCTGTATTTCAGAGTTTTTTTGGTTTGTAGAGTTTTTTGAATTTCTGAATTTCTGAATTTCTGAATTTCTGAATTTCTGAATTTCTGAATTTCTGAATTTCTGAATTTCCGAATTTCTGAATTTCTGAACTTCTGAATTTCTGAATTTCTGAATTTCTGAATTTCTGAATTTCTGAATTTCTGAATTTCTGATTGAACTCGAAACCCCTGACATATGTATCTCTATCTTCCTAACACTTCATATATATTTTTCTTTTGATCTTTATCAGTTTGTTTATTATCTCTCTCAAAAATAAAATCAGCTAATCAATCAATCAGGAGGACTCCAAGGGGAAAGATGAGGCATGAGAATCAACTCTTTGTGGTTTTCTTCCCGAATGAACATTGATCATTTCTTCTCAAAATCGAGTGGGCGGAGCTTATGGATTGAAACGTGGCGCGATGAGGCAAAAGGGGAATGGTGAGCAACAAGAAAGGAGAAAAAACAAAAGACAAAGTTTCCTTCTGAAGAAAATTCTCTAATGAATCCGGTCGAATCCGCGTGGGGCCGAATTGTTTTGTTGACGATTCCCATGGGAGAGACTCCGCCCCTCATTCGAAAGGGACTACCATTCTTCGAAAAGTAGGTTTTGGTATTCGGTTTGATTTGATTAGAAGACGTTGGTAAGGGGAAGAGAGGAAAGTGTATCTTCTTGATTCGAATAGAAACAAGGAAAATGAAAATTGGAACAAAAAAGAAAGAGAATAGAGAGGAAAATGCACCGGAAATAGGACGAAATCGGGTTCAGGTGTCATTTGTGTTTGCTCATTTTCCATTCTGAAATTTTATTTAATACAATTTTGGTTCTGACTCTGACTGGTTCCTTCTTGCTGGAGCATAAAAATCAAATCAATAAAAATTAATTTATTATTTGATTTGAATTGTGTAAGTTCAAAAATGGTTGGAAGTACAGGTGTTGCTAGATGTTGCAGAATAGAGGAAGTTCTTCAGATTCGTTTGTATCCGGGATTTTGTCAAATTGATATTACGAATCAATAATTTCAGAAGTAAGGAATATTGAAATTTGGAAGAATCTAATATCAGGAATTATTTATTTCACAAAAACTTTGAAAATATTACAAGATTTACAGAATTAAAAAAAATAGCAAATTGTGATTCATTTAGAACGGTGGTGGAGATCCTGAGCCTTCTGGTCCATCGGACGGCGGTGAACCGGATGGTCGTGGTGGTCTTGGTGGTGGTCCTGATGGTGGAGCTCCAGATGGAGGAAGTGGTGGCTCTCCGGATGGTTTTGGTGGAGCTCCCGATGGTGGAGGATGTGGTGGCCTCGATGGCTTTGGCTTTCCGAATATCCACTGGAAGAATGAAGGAGCAGCAGATGGTGGTGGACCAGATGGCTCAAATGGTCCTGGAGGTTCTCCGGATGGTGGTGGACCCGATGGTGGAGCTCCAGAAGGATGGAATGGTGCTGGAGGCTCTCCACTTGGTGGGGCACCTGATGGTGGTAGATGCGGTGGTCCCGATGGCTTTGGCTTGCCGAAGATAAAGTTTAGAACAGAATCAGATGGTTCTTCGGATGGTGGTGGTCTCGATGGTCGAGGAAGTCTTGTTGGTCGGGGTCTTCTGGAGAAGTGTGGGTGTGGTGGTGGACCGGACGGTTTTGGTGGAGCATCCGACGGATCGAAAGGTCCTGGAGGTTCTCCGGATGGTGGTGGTCCAGAAGGTGGAGCGCCGGAAGGATCAAATGGGACCGGTGGTTCGCCGGATGGAGGAGGCCCCGATGGAGGAATCGCATAGGCAGCTAGCGCCAAGACTAACACACCAAAAACTTTGCAGCACATTCTGAAAAAATAAAGTAAAAAGTAAAAAAGAACGAGATTGAAAATTGGATGCCTTCTCCAGCTTCCAAATTTCCTTATATACCAATTTCCAACGTCGGAACAATAATCACGAGGAAGACTTATGGATACACCCACAACTCCGACTCAAAGTTCTACAACATTTTTTTTTCTCTAATCAATGATTGACAAATCAGACTGTTTTTCACTGATGAAAATAGTTTTAACCTATAGGTGAGCTGATGTCACATATAGATGCTTCCCGCTCATTATCTTACTGTAGACACCAGAGATTCATATGACCTGCCTCAATTTTTGTTTGAGGAACAAGATCAGAATCAACAACTTTGCCCTTTTTTGGAAGTGATAAAAATGTGTTTATTTTTGTAAAAATGCTCATTGGTGTTGCTTCAACTAGTAAATATTTATGTTGTGTCAGTTTGTTTGTAGCAAAATAGCTTGACTCATTAACATGTCAGTCTAAAAAAACAAGCTGTGGGAAGAAAACTCCGGTGTCTGTGGCCCCAGGTCTCAGAACGAAAACTCCCATAATTTGGAAATACTTTGGTTTTGACGATTTTCTTGCAATTCTTTCTGGACCAAGATTTCTCTGTTGAATATAAAAATTGTTTCCGAAAAATTTACATACCTTAAAACCTGTCTTCACACTTCACACTGTCAAGTTATAGCTTAATCATCTAGGTTCACAGGAAAGATATCAAAAATGTGTCAACTGTAAAAATGTTTGCCATATTATCATAGAAATTTTATCAGTTGACAAATTTTAGGTATATTGCATATAGGCCAAGAATAATCAGATCAAACTTGACAGTGTGGGGGCCTGTCTGTTGATAAGAAAGCCATTCAATTTTATCTGATTTACTTTTAAGTTGGAGATCTTTCAAAAAATTTTTGAAGACATTTTCAATTGGTTCTCAAGGAATCGAGCCCATCGGAGCATTTTTCAAGCGATGTTTTAATTTGAAAAGCATATGTATTTCAGAATTTCAGATTTTCAGAATTTCAGAACCTCAAAATCTTAAAATGTCAGAATCTTAGAGTTTAAAAATTTCGGAATCTTATAATTCCAGAATCTCGGAATATTTTAATTGCAGAACTTCAGAATATCAGCATGTTAGAATTTCAGAAACTCAGAATCTCAGAATCTCAGAATTTCAGAATCTCAGAATTTCGGAATATCAAAATCTCAGAATCTTAGAATTTTAGAGTCTCAAAATTTCGGAATTTTGGAATTTAAGAAATTCAAATCTTCTGAACAATTCCAGAATCCCATGGTCCGAATTTCAATATTTCGAAATCTCAAACTCTCAATATATGTCAGACACCTAGCCACGTTACATGTGTTTGCTCCACGTTGTCTCCAAAAGTCTTCGGGGAAAAAAACTCGGTTCACAATCCTCTGCTCTCCTCAGCCATTTCAATTACCCAATTGGAAGGCAATTCTCCAATCAATTGCATTCTACTAGTCGAATCTTCATCCCACACGATCCACTCGTCTTTATCATTCATCCATTCAAAATGTCGTTCAGTCTCGAAATGGCTCAAATGCTTCCACCAGCTCCACGTGATAGTTATGCGGTTCCTGGAAAGCCAGGAAATTCCGATCCGTTGACAGTTGTTGGATGGGAGCACATGGATCTGAAGCTCTTTTATCCTTCGGCGCTTCTCAGGTAGAAAAGAATGAGATCGATGGGGACACAGACAACTTTTTTGCAGTACATGGAGTATTCGAACTGCTCTCTATCCCCTAGCCGTACTTCGTAGTCAACTGCAACTGCAGAAACAGAATACGGTGTATAGAAGTACTCTTCACGCGTATTCGGACATCTCCAGACGAGAAGGATTCCGTGGATTGTATCGGGTATCTATTAGCAGGCATACAGATAAATGAAGATTTTTTTCGTAGGGCTTCTGGATTACTGTACCCCAGATTGGATGCTCATTCATCTATTCGACGATCTTCGAGAAATGCCGTTCGGTTCTGCACGAACAAGGTGTCAAATCAGTTGGAGGAGCCGCCGCAGTGGCTGGTGGTCTAGCTAGTTTTGCGACCCAATCGATTTTTGTACCGACTGACATCATTGCACAATACATGATGATCTACAAGAATACTGATAAGTTGACAGCTGGACACGATAAGGCCGTTATTGAGAGAGTCGCGTAATGATTGAAAGTCACTGCAGAATTTAACAAAAAATTAAAATTCAGAACCCATGTGAAAAATGGAAATGGATTAGGAACGAGTGTGATCAAAGCAATCTATCAAGCCGACGGAGCACTTGGATTCTACCGTGGATTCTGGGCGTCGGCTGCTGTCTATATCCCACAGATGCTCACTTTTTGGCCGAGCTATTACTGGATGCTAGGCCTTTTCAGCAAACTGAATCCAAACACCGACCGAAGTCTTCTTATCGATCAGGCCATTGCAGCAACCATCGGAGGATCCATCTCAACAATCGCCACCAATCCGATGGAGTTGTTCCGCGTCAGACTTCAAGTTCATCGTAGCAGCTATGCGAAAACTTTGGAGACGATGCTTCGTGATGAGAAGACGGCAATCTTCACCAAGGGACTCACTCCGAGAATCATTGCCAATTCGATCTACGGTGGAATGGTTGTGGTTGGATACGAAATCGTGAAAAGATTATGTGCAAAAGAAGAGTATAAGCATCGTATAAAGTGGTAAATTCATGAATAAATTCACCGATAAAACCTGATCGGGCCCCATCAGTCTTAGATTGCACACATGTATGGAAAAAAAGAGAAAGTAAAGAACAAAAACACGACACAATACATTGGAAAAAAGAAGGGGGCAGTATTGATTAAGGCTATTATGAACTAAGGGGGTCACTAGTAGAAGGGAATGAGGATGGGAACTGTAAACCGGTTAAATTTGATTATGAGATGGGAAATGGAAACAATAAAATATTTTACGGGTAATGGGGCATATGACCGTAATAATTTGGAGGGTACATTGGTTGAAGATTGAACATGGCGTTGAAAGGGTTGTGGAAGTTGTTGTTCGTTTCGGAGACCATGAAGGCGTGGAACATCTGCTGATTTCGAGCGAACTGCTGCTCCATATCACGTCTTTCTCGTTGTTGTCGCAAACGTTCGATTTCAGCTCGTAGTTTATCTTCTTCTTGAAAACGTTGTTCACTTTCTCGTTCGAGTTTCTCTGCAAGCTCTCTGAAAGAATTCAAAAAATTATGTGATCCATCCACATTCGCCACTTACGCCTTGAATATATTTCTCATCTGATACGGGAAAATCTGTGGCCATGGCGGCAGTGGCACTTCCACAATACAATCTCCGTCGACATATCGCTCGAACTGCCCTTTGTTCTTATCGAGAAAGCGCTTTGGGTCATTTCTGAACAATTTCATGTTCTCGAAAGCCGGAATGATTTCGTTTTTGTAGAAGTTTTTGATGGTTACTGTATTTAGCTTTTTCGTCACATCGCGATCGACGAGTTTCAGAAGTGGAATCAGCGAATCTTCGTGCTTCTTATTGAAACATGTCAGACTAGTGATCTCTTCAATCACGCGTGTGAAGTCGAAGTTATCGTATTCCTGGAAGCATTTCATGGGAATTAAGTGAGATTTGATGGGAAAATAGTGTTAAGTCCCACTTACGATGGCAATCTTTCCGAAGACTAACACCGGATGAGACTCTTCCGTTGAGTACATTCCACGAATCACCATAGCAGTTTCCAGATCTTCTTCTGTTTCTTCCTTGTCGAGTTCATCATCAAGAGCATCGAAAACAGCTTCATCGAAATCTGCAGCTATGTTGAACCCATCCATATCTACGTCAGTGACGGAATCGTCGAAAAGTGATGGCGGAGTGAAAAACACAGGTGGTGGCACATTGTTGTCATGAATACGATTGGCTTTCGGTTCAGAGCTATTCACCAATCCTGGTTTTGGCTTCTGAGAATTTTGGTACACCGAAGGAGAAGTCCGAACAGACGGAACTCTTGTCGCTGGCTTCCTCGCAGGCTGTTTGGCTGCACCATTACTATTCCTGCGTGCTGGCTTCTGTTTTACTGGTCTCGGTTCCGGCGAATACTGAAAATCAATTTTTATAACAAGAGTTCAGCGGCTTGGTGATCTCACATCAATTCGAGTCCGCTTCAATGAGGTACGTGCGTTATTACTATACGCAACAGAGACGCCAGAATACTCGCATATCGTGAAAAGAGCTCCTTTCGATGTTTGTCGCGTGGTTCTTCTGAAAATCATGAATATTCAACTTATAAATAAGCATAAACTTGCCTAGTAGAACACAGTTCTGACTCGTCAGCTATTTTTTGGTCTTGCCGCCAAGGAAACCCATCTAACAGTGTGCTCTTCGGTTTACTCATTGTTTCCCTGAAATTAAAAACATGAACACGGCAGAACGGAAGAGTATTAACAGTGCCAGACGCATATTTCATTTCAGAGCCTACGTTCGCGTTGAAAGTATGTGTTGTCCGATTAGAAACGAGTACAAACGTATCAGACATGATTGAGAGTGAGAAAGTTCATGAAAATCGGATAACATTCCGAAAGTTTGCCGGAGACGACAAGGAGACTGATCGAAAATGAAACAATATTTGCAAGCAAAATATTTGAAACAAAATGCTGAAACAAAAGTCGCTGCAGGACCCGTTGATATTCTGACATGCTCCTTTAAAGCGATACGGTATTTTGCAAAATTTTGTTTTCAAAATTCAATTTTTGTCGATTTTCCCCGATTTGTATCAATAGATATTCATAGATCAGTTTTTTTTCAAAATGAGCTTTTTTTTTATTTTCAACCCTTTCTCTTCTTTCCTTCTTTAGAGTTTTCTTCTGTGTCATTTTTTTTGAATTTCGCTCTAATTTATGCTGTAGCATTCACGCCCTACTGTTCTTTTTTCTTTTCGAAATGCTCTGCGTCTCTCGATTCTACCCGGTGTTTCCTTTTCTTCTGACTCAATTTCCATCGTTTTGATTCTGAATTTTAGAATTTCTAAAATTTTCCTCACACTCTAATTGAACTTCTTGAAATTACAGAGAATGGTGGAGCAAACGACGTCTGTCACTGGCTCGTTGCCTAAAATTTCCTTCGGTGTGAAGAAGCGAGAGGACACAAAGTTCCAAGCTCCAGCGCCTGTTGCAGTTATTAATGGTGAGAATTCTGTTTTTAGAAAATCTCTATTATTTTTATTTTCAGTTGACGTTGACAGTGATGAAGAACGCGAGAAGGAGGAAATGGAGAGAGCAGCCAAACGGAGGAAGATGACTCATTTCGAAGACGGAGATATCAGAGGTGATGTGGATAATGTCAAGGAAGCAGCTGTAATCCCAATGGTAATTGAACACGATTGGCGTACCCAAAAATTGCTAGAAAAAGAGAAAGCTGGAACATTGACAGAAGAAGAAAAGGCAAAGCTAGCACTTGTGTTACCAAATGGTGTTAATGGAGAGGATGGCACGGAAGGATCTGGGGAGAAGATTGTAGTTGAAGAAGGTCAAGGAGCCAACGAAGACGCTGATTATTCGGCAATTTCTATTGAAAGTTTCGGTTTGGCTATTCTGAGAGGATGCAACTGGAAGGATGGCGATGGAATCGGTAAAAATCCACAGAAAGTTGCATTGAAACTCCCAAATCGACGACCACCAGGACTTGGACTTGGAGCAACACCCAAACACCCCGCGGGTGGTGATAAGAAGAAATCTGCGGCGGATAAAGGAGAGAAGGAGGAGAAGATTGAAGAAATCAAAGTAGGAAGTTTTATTAAAGTAGTCGATGGACGGAATAAAGGAATTTATGGAAAAGTGGAAGGACGAGATGATGATTCGAATTCGTTTTTCATTCGAACTGCAATCGGAGGAAAATCCATAAAAGTTAGCCAAATTGTAGTAATGGCAGTTAGTGCGAAGGAATACGAACGAGATTCAAAATGTCTGAATAAGAATGAATACGATAAAGAGAAGGATAGAATCGAAAAGGAGAGGAAGAAGTACGAACAACCATCCACATCATCATCCAAAGATTATAAATCGTCGTCTTCTTCGAAGTCTTCCAAATATGATTACGATGACAATCGGAAAAACGAAAAGTTATGGGCACGAACAGACCTCCTAGTCCGATTCATTGATGAGGACTTCAAGAGAGGATCACTGTTCAAGCAGAAAGTTCGGATAGTTGATGTAGCAGGGAAGGATGAGATCACAATTGAGGATGACCGAGGCAACACCTATTACAGTAAGTCTATATACTCAGTTCAAAAAATCGGGGCGGTGGAAGGGAAATGCGGGTGGCCGTTTTTTTCTGAGTTTATTTTCTCGATTTTTGTCAATTTTTTTTCAAAAGTTTCTCTACTTTTTTACGGAAAAAAAACAAAAAATTCGAGAAAGTTAGTAAAAAACGAGAAAATAAATCTAAAAAATCAAAATGTATTTAGGTTACTGTAGTTGTCGTTGCTGGACCTTCGGCCATGGCCACCGGAGTTTCCTTTCCACAGCCCTGTTTTTTTTTTGCACCAACATACCAATTTCTTGGAAATTCTATAACTATTTTTTTTCAGATGTCCGTCAATCATATCTGGAAACAGTGATTCCTAGAGATATTGGAGAAAAATTGATGATTGTCGCTGGAAAACGCAGTGGAAAACTGGCTGTGATGCTGGATAAGGACAAGTATAAAGAGAAGGTGACGGTTCGTTTGCTGACCACGAACGAAGTGGTCACTTCATATTTTGAGGATGTGTGTGCGGTGAAGATACGACACGAAGAAGATTACGAGTGAATTAAATTATTAGTGTTAACCCAGTGATTTTTATTGTTTTTACAATTTCATGTTCAAAATTCAATACAACTAATTAAGAAGTTTTTTATCACAATGACTAGTTGTTTATTCGGGTGCCAATATAATGTATCACAATTGTGCCACAAATTTCTTATAGACTTCAACAATGGTATCCAGATTCTCATCGGTCACATTCCAGTTGAGAACCATTCGAATGCGTCTCGCATCGAACGTCATGGCGAGGATGTCGTGTTTTTGGAAGAAATCGGTAAGCTGTTGAACAGACACCCCATTCTCACAGTGGATCAGAACCATGTTGGTGATGTCGTTCTCCTTGGCGTATACTTTCTGAAATATCACATAGAATTTGGATTATTATCACTATCTCACAGTTCTTAATGCTTCTGGTGTTGCCTCATTAATCATTTTGGAGAGCTTCTTGGCTCTTTCATGATCAGCCTTGATGGTCGCCTCCGCATGATCCAATGCCACGTGTGCAGCAGCAGCCAACACTCCACTCTGTCTCCATCCACCACCCAATGCTTTTCTGCTGTGTCGAGCCTTATCGATAAAAGCTTTGGGTCCAACAAGAATCGATCCGACTGGGGCTCCGAGACCTTTAGAGAAGCACATTTGAACGGTGTCGGCGAATGAGGCAATGTGTTTGACGGTCGTGTTACAGGAAACAGCTGCGTTGTAGATTCTGGCACCGTCCATGTGAACTTTAAGGCTTCGACGTTCAGCGAGCATTTTTACGGATCTGTAGAATTTGAGTGGATGTGTTAAAATAGATAATTTAACCTCATCCAGTCAATTGGAAGAGCCTTTCCACCGGTATAATTATGAGTGTTCTCAATACAAATGAGCTTCGAAGCGGGCATATGGCAATCCTGAAATGAAATCAGTTTTCAGGTGAATTTGTTTATAGGAGTAAGCCTATTGCTCTCTCCTTCACTTACAACTTGTTACAGTATTACACACTCAAACACGACTAACAAAGGGATTCTAAAATATCTCACGGGTATACTTGTCACTTCAGTATCACTACTCTCATCATAAATTTGAATATAACCTCCCTGGACACGAATCGCCTGCTCGATATCGTCCAAATCCATCGTTCCATCTGGCTTGACTTCCAGAGTTGTTGCCGAGATTCCTGAAAAAAAAATTATTTTCAGATTTACCTTAAACTTATTGGATTTACCAGCCAACTGCGCATAATTTCCCTGCTCCCAACGATGGATATGGTTGTAGCGACCGACGATGATCTCCTCGCCACGCTGGCAATGAGCCATAATCGCCAGAAGATTTCCCATAGTTCCACTGGCTACGAACAATCCAGCTTCTTTTCCAAACAGCTCCGCACAACGTTGTTCGAGTCTAACCGTAGTTGTGTCTTCTCCATAGACATCGTCACCAACTATAGCTTCAGCCATGGCTTGGCGCATTTCTAGAGATGGAACGGTTACTGTGTCCGATCTCAAATCGATGCTAGTATGGGTTTTATTTGACTTTTGAGTGTAGGCTGATGGCTGAAATAATATTTTATATTATGATAGAATGCACTGAAATTCTTAAGACCTACCGTATCCAAAAGATCAGTGGATGCTGAGTGGCCATTTTCATTGATTCCGTTCGTTGTTTGAGTCATTCTTGCCGTTGCAAAGTTACGGAAACTGGCTAAAAATTCTACGGATGACTGGGAATCATGTTTAAATTAGCGACTTTTGTTGAAAAAAAAGGTTGTTCAGCCATTTTTGAGCTCTAATAAACATTATGCTGCTTGCAATTCGAAAAAAAAACGCTAAAATTAAAAAAAAATTCCATGTGTGCTGAGAAACATTGCAGCTTGAAAATGCAGATTTGAGAAGGGGTTTTGATGATATTGCGTAAGAAGATAAATGAGTATCAATGTAAATAGCTAACTTTTGATCTTAGTTTTGCGTCAATTGGCGAAGAATACAGAAAAGTTTAGATGAGATGATGACAATGTATATGCTGCACCTATTTCCTTCTTTTATTAGATAAAAACGACGATGATAACGAAGATCAAACATTGACCCAAAATTGACTGTTAGTATACATTATCAATAAAACAACTTTTCATGCTACTTGGATTTTTATTTGTTATGCTAAAAAGTTCAATAAAATCGAAGCGGAAGGTCCCCCAACGACAACTACAGTAACCTACAAATATTGTTTTCTGAGTTTTTATATCGATTTTCGTGCGTTTTCAGTCAATTTGCTCGCTATCAAAAATTTTACTTTTCTGACTTGTCTGGGGGAAAATACCAGAAAAATCGACGAAGTGTTTAGAAAACGAGAAACCTAATTCGGAAAATTAAAATATTTATAGGTTACTGTAGTTCTCGTTGTAAGACCTTCGACCACGGCCACCGGCGTTCCTCTTCCACAGCTTTTGTACTAGAATTTTTTTGTTTTTTTTCTTACCATTTTTTGCTAGAACTAAAACCCGTCGAGTAAATTGTGAGTGCATCTGAAAAAGACGAACTTTTGATTTTTTTGCGATTTAATAGAAGAACTTACGTTTACCGATAGACAAGACAATCGAGAAAAGATAATGAATGAATGTAATTTTTCTTTCGACGCACGATTTTATTCGACACACTGTACAAGATAGGAACATCAAAAAAATATGGAATAAAGCAATGTACAGTAAAGTGCAGCGTAACGGGGGCTAGTAGTTATAAAGTACATGTTGAAAACAGAAAAAATAATGGACTCAAGAAGAGAAATCTTCGAGAACTCCGAGTTGACGGCACTTTTGCTTGAGACTGTTGATGACCTGCTCGTTCGATGCGAGCATACGGGTGCTTTCCACTTGGTCCTGAAAATTTCGATGTTTGCAAAAATTTCTATCAGATTTGTTCAAAAGCACACAGCTATGTGATTTTTTATTGTTAAAAAAACTCTGGATAAAAACACCGCACCTCATGCAGAGCACTAACGATCTGATCCTTATTACTGGACTCTTCAGTAGCCTTCTTTAATGCTTGCTTCGACTCCTCCAATTCTTGTCTCAAAGTAGTCAACTCTTGCTCCAATCTCAATGAGTAATCCGTTCTATCTGCCAACTGACGAGCAATCAATGAAGCTGGTGGGTCGAACACAGACCCTCCTCTGGCTTCTTTCAATTGCTCTGTAAGCATTTTACGGTGTTCGGTTTCCTGCATACGACGAGCGACTTCTTCATCCACCTGACTTCTCAATCTCGAATTCTCCTCGAGAAGTCTATCAACAGTTGTCTTCGAATCACTATATGACGCGATGCTGTTCTTCTCGGCTCCTTGCTTCCACAAATCCGCTACCTGTTGGCTTTGTGCCAATTGCACTTTGAGCTGCTCGATAGCCGAATCTTTCTCTGCCATTGTTTTCTCTACACTCATAGCTGATTCTTTCATTTTGAGTTGGAATTCGTTCTTCATTTGCTCCATGTCAGAATTCGAGCTCATGCTTCTCTGGAGACTTTCGGCCATTTTTGAAGCTTGAGCGTTCAGTTGAGCTTTAAGTTCACCGACTAGAAGAAGAGAAGTACGGAGAGCAACTTCTGTGGATTCGACATCAGCAACATTGATAAGCGAAGAGTTGTCTGAAATCAAGGCTTTTATGAAAATCGTATCTTTAAAAACCTACTGGAGCATTCAGATTCCGAGACAATCGACATATTGTGGAGAGTTGGAATGGCAGTTGACATGGGATCAATTAGAGAAGCGAGTGGAGTAGACATTGGAGTATTATCCTCCTTCAAAGTTTCGGTTAAAAGTGGAGTTTCAACGAGAGAAGCCTCTGGAGTACGTTCTGGATCAGCGATGGATTCTGGAGCTTTCGATCCAACTGGGGATAACGAGCGCTCTGGTTGAAGAGTTTTAGGCATCAGAATGGAGATTGGTTCGATTTTGATGCTCTGCTGCATACTCCATTGATCGTCATGCTCTTCGTGTTCTTCGGAATCTTCTGGAAAAAGACTTATTAATTTCGATTGCGAAAGAGTGATGCAAGTTGGAAAAAAAAACTCGAGAATATTATTCTAGTTAGCAATCATAAGTTTAAAAACTGCTAATTTTCCAGACTTACCGTCGAAAGACTCGATGAACTCGAATTCATCATTAGGTAGCGAATCCAAAGCGTTGTTCATTTTACCTTAAACTATATGATGAATTTACAGAATCAATTTGAGAAAAAAAAGATTAAAAAGCATCTTCGAGAAAAATAAGTAGCTGAGAGTCGCATGACCTAGAAAAAAAATGCAAACACAAAATAACTAGCAGCACTGGCTGGTAGTAGCAATATATATTTGAAATAAATAGAGTCAGATAATAAATAGACACATGGTGAGCGGAGGGCCTGATTTCGAAACATTCTGGGTCTTGTCTTTAACGTCTGGGTGTAAAGGAGGCCAGAGTAAAATCATGTGTTTTTAAGAGTGAGTCAGCGCACATTATGGAAGCGCAGACGGAAAAAGTTTTGAAGAGAAAACAGCTGATTCGGGTGGCAGCATCGTTGACCATGATGGCCCGAGTGAAGGACACTAACACTTTTAGACGAGATGATAGAAATTTCGAAACCCAGTTAAAAGAAATTGAAACGAAAAGTGTTGAGTTTCATTTTTGAGAAAAAGGTTTATTGGAGAGAAGAAAATTCGTTGTTGAGATCTTGATGGTTCATGATCAAAGAAATCGAATGAATGAGATAGTGACTTTTGACCTGAAGAATAAAGTTAGAAAAGAAACGAGAGAATGAAGAAAACAAGCAAGAATCGTGGCTGAAAACACTCATGTTGAAGAAAACTGGAAGCGACTTTCTGTTTTTAAATATGAGAGGCTATTGGGGAAAAGGAGGCGCAGGTGGTTAGAGAAGACAACGACACTCCGGAAGAACGGTTACTTTTGGAGGAAATTTGAATATTGTTTTTTCTTGATACGAATCAGAACAAAACTTGATTAGCGAGCAAACAAGAACTTGGAAAAAACAGTAACATCAGAACTGCTCGTCGAAAAAGCATAAAAATATCTGAGGAACCAGTATGACGTTCTTATTTCAACTATTCTTAATTGATTATTCTTCTCAAAACCCTTATCAGGCACTCCTTGAACATTCGATCTTCCCCCTCCTCTTCTGAATCTCGACGATAAATAATGTTTCGTTCAAATTTTGTACAACGTGATTTGTCTAACTTCGCATTTTTCTTCTTCGTCTAAATTGATTTGATAACGACTACGTCTTCTTCTTCTTCTCCACATGCAAACCGTCCCTCTTCTTTCTATTCATTCAATCGTCTAACGAGAATGCGTCGTTGTTTCTCAACTGCAACTAATTATTTTGAGATTCATTTGAAAAATGAGTTGGCTGGAATTAAGAATGCAGGCACATTTAAGAATGAACGAGTCATTCAGGGAAAACAAGGCGTATTAGTCAAGGTTTGTACACTTTTTCTAATTATTCACAACAAGATAACAATTGTTAGGTCACTGGATCCGACAAGCCAGTCATCAACTTTTGTGCCAACAACTATTTGGGTCTTAGCAGCCACCCAGAAGTGATTGCTGCTGGTCAAAAGGCTCTAGAAACCCATGGAGCTGGACTCTCGTCGGTCCGTTTCATCTGTGGAATCAAGATATTCATAAGGAGTTAGAGCAGAAGATTGCAAAGTTCCATGGAACAGAAGACACGATTCTGTATGCGGCTTGCTTTGATGCTAACGGTGGAATTTTCGAAGTGATGACTGGAGAGCAAGATACGATTATTTCCGATGAATTGAATCATGCTTCAATCATTGATGGAATTCGATTGAGCAAAGCAAAACGATTGAGATATAAACATTTGGATTTGGATGATTTGGAAACGAAACTGAAAGAGTCCAAAGGTTTGCATTAGAAATTTCCATAATCACTCTAATAGAAGGCCACACTATACTTGCACTTTGAGCTCAATTAACTCAATTTCTATAAGAGATAACACAAAGTGTTCAACCGATAAGAAAGTTATCATAAGATCAAAAGCATTTTATCAGTTGACACGTTTTCGATATCTTCCATAGAAGTCAAGAAAACTAGCTGAAACTTGACAGTGGCCCGTCTATGTATTACAGGTTTTACGGTATCCAGGAACCAAGATTTATGAAATAGACTGACCCTTTTCTCAACAAAATTATTTTACTTTATAGAAAAAATATCAGAAAATTTAAAATGCGATGATTAACTAAAAAGTTATGACAAAAGGGTTAAGTAAATCCCCCGCCACTGAGCCGCCACTCGTCCGCCAAGCAACTTTCTGACTGACAATAGACTTTTTGGCCTAAATATGTTTTATTTATTGTGAGCTCTTGTTCAAGCAGTTTGCATATTTAAAGAAACTTTCAGGATTTTATCGGAATTAAGGCATGCATAATTTTATTCATCTTCAGAATCACGGTTCCGTCTTATTGTCACTGATGGCGTCTTCTCCATGGATGGTGACGTGGCACCGCTAGCTGATATTTCCAGTTTGGCTGAGCAGTGAGTTTTTATGTGTTATTTTTTTAAATCTCCAATTTCCAATTTTCAAAGATACGACACTCTTCTGTTCATCGACGAATGCCACGCCACTGGATTCTTTGGGAAAACTGGTCGTGGTACGGCTGAAGCCGTCGGAGGGAACCCCCACGTCATCAACTCAACTCTCGGTAAAGCACTTGGAGGATCAATGGGAGGATACACAACTGGACCAAAACCACTAATTGATCTATTGAGACAACGATCCCGCCCGTATCTATTCTCGAATTCTCTGGCTCCAAGTATCGTGGGAAGCAGTATTAAGGTAGGGACTCCCTGCTAGGGAGGGGCTCATATTTCCTATTCCTATATTTAAACAACAAAGTTTTATTCAGGTATTCGATTTGCTTATGAACGATTCCTCGTTCATTGGCTCACTGCAAACAAATGTTGCTCATTTCCGTAAAAGTATGGCTGCCAATGGATTCACCATTCTTGGAAACGATCCAACGCATCCAATCTGTCCAGTACTTTTGGGAGATGCAAAACTGGCTGCCACTATGGCTGATGAACTTCTGAAGTTGGGAATCTATGTCATCGGATTCTCATTCCCAGTGGTTCCAAAAGGAAAGGCTCGTATACGTGTTCAAATTTCGGCTGCCCATTCAAAAGAACACATTGATCAACTGATTGATGCTTTCGCCAAAGTAGGAAAGAAATTGAATGTTGTCTGAATAATCCATAGTACAGAAAATAAAGCATTTTTATTGAATTTTAGTTGTAAACAAGAATAAAACAACCCGTTTTGTGAAACATGAGAACGGAAGGGAGTGGTCGAGAAGAGAAGAAACACGTGGAATGTATGAGAAAAAGAGCAATTGGGTCTTTAAAAGAGCATTTTTGCCAGTATTAATATTAGAAAAGCAGCTAAAATATTGATACTTAAAGATTTATTGGTTAGAAGATGTCGAGCTTCTTCGGCGCTTCCACACCATTCTTTGGCACGGAATGTTTCCGTGACGGCGTTTTCAGTTAGTATTCGGAGATACGGGAAGACACATATCTGAAAATATGGTTTATTAAGTTTTGGGTTTTCTAGCTCAGAAAATGAACTTCGACATCTTTTCTGACTTTCAGATTCAAATTTGAGATTTTCCGAGTTTTTGATTTTCTAAATTTCTGAACATCCGAATTTCTGGACTCCTGAATTTGAGAATATGAAATTTTCGAATTTCTCAGTTTTTGAACTTTCAAATTTTGAATTTCCGAAATCTTGAATATGAGAATTTCTGAATATTCGAAATTTCAGAATTTCCAAATTTGAAAACTTGAGAATTTCTAATTTTTGGGGCTTTTCCCTGTCTAAATATTCAAATTTGAGGATTTCCGAATTTTTGAATTTCTAAATTTTTGAACAAAGAATTTCCGTATTCTCGAATTTAAATCTCTGATATTTCCGTATTCTCGAATCTAAATCTCTGATATTCTGCTCATTTTCATAATTTTGGGATATTCTTTGATGACCTGACTCGATAGATTTTTAAATTTCAAATTTTTTCAAGCTTCTCAAAAAACAAACCGTGCTACATTTCCTATCTTCCTTTGGCAATTTTGATAGATCAAAATGAAACGAGGCATGTTGGATAACTTGCTGTGACACTGGACTTAACACTCCTTTTGAACATCGAAGCTCCGGAACTATCACTGTTGAGATCTGCAATTTATTAAATTTCATTTTTTTCGATGGTCCCATATCTTTTGGGAATCTTCTTCCCATTTTTTTCTCATCAACTTGTTTTTCATGACTTTTTGACTATTCTATTCATTTCATTCATCACGTCTTCTTCTTCTTCTTCTTCTTCTTTTCCTTTTTTATTTCCTTCTCCAACTTCCAATATAATATACGGATAGAGTGAGCAATCTCTTGGTATAATAAGAAGTAATAACGTGTGAAAATTATAAGGGGAAGAGGAAGAAGAAAGACTCATTCAAAAGTAGAAGAAGAAGAAGAAGAAGAAGAAGGAGAAGAGAAGAAGTTTAATTATAAATATGTGGAATTTCATTGAGAGATCATAATTTATGCTAATCCACAAATACTAAGGAATGCAATATTGAAAATATTGGGGAACTTTTTTGACAAAAGTCTTTAAAGGACAATATCCTTTAAAGGATCAGTTCCAAGAATTGAATCCTTTACCTTTTTAATCTCTTTAAAAACCGATCCAACTCCAATATAAATATTATCCTTTGTCACAAATAAATCATCAATGAATGCAACCATCTGATCGATTTTCTTCGGATCGTCTCGACTTGTCTTTTTGGTTTTCACTACCATTTCCTGAAAAATTACTGTGTTCCAAGACTACCGTGAAACCTGTATTAGAAGAGTTAACTATTTTTGAACTTCGAGCCACTTTATCTCGGCTCCTGTCAAAAGTATCAAAAATGTGTCAACTGATAAAATGTTTGTGATATTATCCTCAGCAATTCATCAGTTGACAACTTTCGAATATTTATCACAGGAACCTACATAAATCAAAGTTAAAAGTTGAGGGCCCCTCTATTACACGCTTTACGGCATATTCGAAAAAAGCTCACTTGTTTAGTCATTCTTAAAGCGTTGTCTGTGATGTCGTCAGCAAAATTCAGGCGGTATTCGATTCGTACAGCAAACCACGTATCGGGTTTCAGACCATCGAAAGAGAGAAGCTGGAATAGAAAAAAATCTTAGCACCAGATGATCGTTGAATTTATCACTCGAAGTTTTGAAACTATCAATCGAAGTTTTTGAAATTTTAACAACTCTATCTCTTTTAACCTCGCAACCTCAAAACTCTAGACCTCAATAGACACAGGATGGCAAATAATTACCATGACTAAAGTTTGTACTTGCTACTATGCTCAAATATGGAGTGCTGAAATCCAAATATTTCGTCAGTAAACTGGTCAAGTTTAAAATTACTTAATAACTTTGAGCTGAGTTATCGCTTGTCAAAGTTGCGTCATCTCATGAAAGTCACAAAACCATTACGCCGTTCATCTTTGAACAATCATAACAACACCTAGAGTTGAGTAATTGCTTCAAAAATTCCAGTAGCTTTGAATCACACGTAAAATTATATTTCTACCACCTTTCGTGCTTCCAAGATACTTATGTCTGAAGATATACCAATTTTTTGCAGTCCGAGTAATTGTGCGCTCCTACTATGAAAATGTTTCCTATCATTCGTGGGTTTCATTTCCAAACCTATCGGATTCTTCTGACCATCACCACCCAATAGATTACTCAATCAAATAAGTCCATCAAAAGTCATTGCCCTTTGTGTTTCCCTTGATTGCCCACAAATTGTTGATGCTTCCCTTACTAACATGTCAAATGGGTGTTGGGTGGTGAATGTTCATTTTCCCACCCGCCCCAAACATATTTGTTTTACTCGATTGTCTTTCCCTCAAACCCCCATTTTGGTAATTGTGTATCTTCTCCCATTTCCTTTCCCTCGGACCTTCCAAATGTTGGAAAAAGAAATAAAAAGAGGAATATCAAGAATCATAAAAAGACATTTCCCTCTCATTTTTTCCTTGTCAGAATAATGATGATGGTCATCATCGGAGAAGGACCACCAGATCTTTTTTATGTCATCCTCTATCAAGTGCAACGACTTTTTTATTTGAAAAAAGAGCATGTTACTACTCTTTTATGAGATGAGACCGCCCATATATTTTTTTTTGTCCTAAAAGAGATGACACGTGTCAATTGGTACTTAGCAGAAGAGGGAAGTGGACCCCACCCTAAAAAGACATATGTTTTTAGAAGGGATTAGGATAAGTGAGGGGTTGGTTGGACAGTCCTATCCAGTGACACCAATTGGTTGGTACGTCAAATAGATGTAAATGGACCAAGATTAGTATTTAGTCGTCAGCAGAATACAAAACAACAGAATATTACGTTCCCACGGATACAGAACTCGTTCAGAATTCTGAAGATTCCAAAAATAAAATGTACCCCCTCTCGCGTCAGATTGTATTTATCTGGAATTTTTGTGGGTAGAAGACGAAAATGAACTGAAAAATGTGGGAGAATGATGAATTTTGAGGGAGTTCTGTTTTTGGGAGGACTGGAAGACCAAAAGAGAAATTAGGACACAGGAGCCAAATGACCGAAATATAGTTTCAATATTTTGAAGTTCTAAAACACAATCCAATTTTTTGTCTTATTTTTGTACAGAGACAGACAAGAATTTTTGAGAATCAGAACATTGAGAATCAGAGCCGAACGATCAAAACACAAGATTTCAATTTAGCCGATCGACCGCCTACACAGCTGACCGTTCGGTCGGCTTCGCGAATGTCAGAGATTGTTCGCTTACACAGCATTTTATTTTACGACGCACAACGCATTTTTTGATTTTGCGAATTACAAAATGCTGCGTGCACAAACACTCGGCCGGCGGTCGGTCGCCATTCGACAATTTTCGACCGACCGAAATTCCGAGTTCTACAATTTCAAAATATAATCCCTACCTGATCATTTTTCACATGATCCAACTGTGTCCTTCTAAACAATCTCTGTTTGGAAAGATCGAAAATCTGCACAGTAATATCGAAATTTGTCACATTCGCCGCTTCGATCATTTTTATCACCAAACTGCTATCAGAAACTGATATCACTTCGAATTTGGCGACACATTCGATTTGAGTGGTCCAAAAGAAGAACAGGTAAAGAAGCAGACTACGCAACGTCATCTGGGAAAGTAAAAGTATTTTAAAAAAATACCGAAATTCAAAAAAAAAAAGAAGAGGTGAGGGTGGAGGGGGAAAAAAGTAATAATAAGCTTCGTCTTCTGAGAAAGCAGAAGACTTCGGAGGAGGAGAGAAGAGATCCTAAATTTGTACTTGGGTGTGCAAATGACAACATGAAGGTGTGATTTAGTGTAGAAGAAGAAGAAGAATGGGTGGGACCGGAAATGGACTCCCTCTATTCTTCCAAACGTTTTCTTCGTTTCTTTCAAATTGACTTTCTTCTCTTCAAGTCTATATAATTGGAGCATTTTTGATGGAGGATTAAAAAAAAGGGAAAAAGAGAATAGTATGAGAATTTTGGCTCTATCAGAAAAGGGATTAATTCTGGCCGAAAGAAAAAAATAAGAGATTCTGGAGTGGTGGGATCTGATGTGAAATCAGGAGCGCAGAAAAAGTAGCTGGTTGTGTTGTCTCACGCTTCAAGAATTCTATTATTTTCATTCAACCAAATATGGGGATGGAGAAAATGGAACACACTGCTTCTGCCGAATGAAAAAGGGGCGGAGCCTATTGGAGGATTCTGTGACCGCGCCCCTTCTTTTTCGTAGAGAGGTTGCTTTTGATGGAGGAAAGGGATGTTTGGGGGATATCGGAGTGAACAAAAATGTCCAAGTTTTCAGACATACTACATGGTAATTGCTAGTCTATAAATTTCAGGCTACGGTATCACCAGATTTCCAGATCATCGAAAATCCAGATGTTAGGATTTCAAGATGGAGAACAATTTTTAAAAAATAGACAACAAGAAGTATAAATCTTCGAAAATATCAAAATACAGATATTCAAAATCATCTCACTATCAGAAATGTATTTTTAAGATACTCTAAAACCTATAAAAGAATCACTGACAAGTTTGAGCTCAATTATCTCCACTCCTATGCAAGATAGCAAAAATGTGTCAATTGATAAAATGTTAGTTAGATTATAATAAACAATTTATTAGCTGACAACCATTTTATATCTCTGACAGGAATCGAGATAATTTAGCTCAAAGTTAGAAGTTAGGGGTTTTTCTATTACAGGTTTTTCAGAAGCTCAGAATCTAATGATCAAGCAGATTTGATTTTCAGACGGAGCATTCTGGTCTACCAATACAAACTTCAATTCTCTTATCACCTAAATTTCATCCACTCCCTTTTAATCCGAACTTTATATATCCATGCTTCCCATCTCCACTGGAGAAAATCCAGTAAAAAAAACAAGCGCAAAACTTTTTTTTCAAATTCAAAAGAAAAAAAACCAGAGTGGGGGTCTATTTCCCTTCTCTCTTTCTTTTTTCAAGATGATTTGAATTATGAGCTCCAGGACGTTTTATTGGGGTCGTCTTCTTCTTTTTCTTTTCGTTCGTTCGCCGAAAAAGAGCTCCAGATAGCTCACAAGAAAATAACTGGGTTACGCGCGGGTCTCTCTTAAGTTGAGATGTGATTGATGGCTTTTTGAGGTTTTTGGGATAAAAGACGAGAAGACGAAGAAAGAGGATTCGTATAATATACAGAAAGTCAGATGAGAATGAAGTGTCAGAAAAGAGAGAGAATGAGATTGATCAGGTGGACTGGTCAAGGATTAAAAATGAGATAAAATACGGAGATGATGTAGGAGGCTTTTGAAATTGTAATCAAACTTCTATTTGAATTTTCATCGAAAAGAAGAGGTTGTTTTTAGTTTTGGCCCAATAGGAAGCAAAATTATCGGTTTAAGAAAACATTTTGGAAGAAAGGCGTTATTTACTAAACGGAAAATGTTATTTGAGGATTCCTTTAAAAGTGGAGGACATCAAAAATTTCAAAAATTTTCGGATTTTTCTCAAAAATGTAATTCTAAAGTGAAATCATGGAAAAAAATCTCATTGGCGAAAAAAAATGTTTCTTTTTCTTACCGTAATTTTTTCAACCGCTTAACGCCAATCTCGTGGTGTAAGTGGGTACGCTCTAGGCTAGTGTTCAACAGGTCACAAGTTCAATCCCCGCTTGTGGTTTTACTATTTTCTTTGTTTTTTCTTTTGAATTCAACTTTTTGAACTTGAAAGTTTAAACCAGTGTGCCTTCAGAACATATTTGGGAGAGAACATTTTGAGAGAATGCAATAAATTATACTGGATTTGAATAGCAAGAATTTTGACCAGCTTGATTTTTGAAATTGAAAATGTCCGGATAATCCAAACGCCGCAGAAAAAAACTTATTGAGAAACACAACGTCTTCATCTTATGAAACGCAACGTCTCCACTAGACATATTCCACGTTTTTTTGTGCTACACATACATTTCTTCTCCTTTTTTTCTTCTCCTTATTCTGTTTCGTTTTGAGTGGCATTGTGGACTCATAGTTAGTTATATTAGTGCTTATTCTATGCGCCAACTTCTCGATTTATGCACACTTGAATGGAAAAATAGAAGAAGAATGGAGAAGAAAGAAAAAAAAGTTAGAGTCGAAGAAAAAAGGTCATTTGGGTGCAGTAACAAAATATGAAAAAAGGAAGTAGAGAAGTTGAATGGACTGGAAAATTGAGAGAATTGGGGGTACCTTTTTAGAAGAGGGGAGAACTATAATTTAAAGATACTTTCAGAATGGGTTCCGAAGTTTAAGTTTTGATTCTTTGGTCGAAAAAGTTTGATCTGAAAAGTATAGGCTTGGGGTGCGAACACAAAGGAAGAAGAATAGGATGGGAAGATCAAGAGTTCGAAAGTTCAAAGGGATACTGTAGTTTATTCAAAAAATGAGAAAATCATAATTGTAGGATCCAAATAAGTGAATTTTGACTGTTTTCAAAAAGTAAAAAAATGATTAATTGAAAAATGTTTTCAGAGTTGTGTGTTTTCATAATACTTCTTTTTAAAAAACTTGCAATTTTTAGATTTTTCCTCCGCTGAAAATACATAAATTTGAGAAGATTTTATATTTAAAAAAATCTAAAAAATTGGTCGGAGTCCCAGTTAAATCTTTAAATATCTGGAATTTGCAGCTTCTTTTTCAGAATCATCAAGAATTCTGAATTCCCCCATCCCAGGATTCTAAGCATCTATAGAATCGAAAATCGCTCACACATTTTCCTACGATTTTCTCTATTTTTGTCATCTCTTGTTTTTTTTCTGCGAGCTCACAAGAAAAATGAAGAATGTGTGAAACAATTTCATCCATTCTTTCTTTCCCTCTGGATTTTCTTTCCGAGTAAAAAAAGACAAAGGCAGTTATATCTCAAGTCAAAAAAAACTCCCTCGAATTCATAAACTTTTTTTAGGGTGTAGATGAAGTTGTTGGAATGAAGAAGAAGACTGCACGACGTCTTCAAGAATCCTAGAATTCCCTCGACAAATCATATGGTTCTATGGGGTAGAGAGAGTTGACCCATGACCCTCGAATTCCCTCGGTGTTCCCGGAGACAGTGAAAAAGACAATTGACAAAAAAACAAAGCAAAAAAAAGAAAAATAAGAATAAGAAGGGAAAGATTGGTATCGAACGACGACAGCTTCTGAAGCAAACATGATGAAAAGTGGGAGGAGCCTATTCACGTGAAGACGTGGGAATTCTGAATAGAAGACGTCGTCGTCCGGAGTAGGCGGATGGGAGAGATGAATAGAGGACACATCAAGGAAGTTTTTTATTGGAGGAGTGTGTGTTGTTATAGTTTTCCTTTTTGTATGGGCCTGGAAAATGTGTTTTCCCGAAAATTTTCAAAAAATTCTGCTTTTTTGAACCAAGAGAAAAAGTTTCAAAGTTCTCAAATCTCAGAGGTCGGCCGGGTGCAAAGTATGGGAGTGTTTCTGACAGACTTTGTCAAAAAAGTTTTTGTTGTGTTTTTGTGAGAAAAAAATAGTTTTGAAGAAAAAAGACTTTTGAAACAATGTGTCTGGGATTTGAGTTGAGTTTTCTTGCCACAGAAAAACGGCAAAAAACGAGAAAAAAAAGGAAAAAAGAGTTTAAGATGGATGGATTTGATATGGTGGGAATCGAAAATCTCGAGAAAAAAAAGTGGGATAGAAGACAAGTAATTTTTGTGGGAAATTCAGAATTTTCGGAAATTAATTCAATTGAAGTCAGACTTTTTTTGAATTGTTAAAAATGGTACAAACGGCGTTGTTGAGCTTGGGTTTTCCAAATTGAGCTAGCTCTCTGAAATTTGATACGGAAACCACATCTGTGTAGTTTGTTATTTTTATTAAATTTCAGCTTTCTAGAATTACTGTACATTAACAATATTTAGGACAAAAAAGTAAATTTTCCGCCAGACAGTTGCTCGACGGACGATTGGCGGCTGAGTGGCGGACCACTGGCGGTGGATCTTATATTATCTGTATCTTATATTTTACGTTAATCATCTAGTTTTAAATTTTTTGATATTTCTCCATGAAACCAAACCATAGTTTTCAAAATAAAGTCCGTTTGTTTCATAAAAATTGGTTTCTCGATACCGTAAAACCTATGATAGACAGGCCCACTTACTGTCATGTTTGATCAAGTTTTTCTCGGCTCCTATGCAAGATATGGAAAATGTGGCAACTGAGATAATATTTTTGATATTTGGATAAACAATTTACCAGAAGATAACTTTTTTGTATCTGTGGCAGGAGCCAAGATAAATTGGCTCAAAGTTAAAACTAAAGGGGCTCTTCTATTAGAGGTTTTACGGTATCTGTGCTCTCCAATTTCTCGATGTATCTACTGATATTCGTATAAAAAATTATCTCCAATCCATGAAACTCTTAGAAAATAAATTCAGATAGAAATGCCAAGAATTCTACCTGAATGAATATTGACTAGTCACCGGAAACTTCTAGAGACTCTTGCGGAGGGAGAGAAAGAGAAAGCAATGCTTTTTCGACGTTCTAAGGTGGCACAGGAAAACTAAAAAAGACACGAAGAAGAAGAAGAAAAAATAAGTTTGGGGGATGTATAGAATAGGAGAGAACCTTCGTAATGACTCGAGGAAAAACAAAGAGAAGGTGTCTTCGTTCGTTCGGGACGCCCCAAAGACAAAGAAAAAGTATTCTGAAGAGGTGTGATACTGTGCAAATATGTCAGAAGAAAGAGATGACAGGGAAAAGGATGAGTGGCACATTTCCTCCTTTTTTGGTATATTTACGGACATGGTTGAAAGATACGAGAGAATATGCACTTGAGTCAGTTAGTGTTCCTTGCAGATAGGAATTCGAGAGGAGAAGGAGACACGGAGAAGGAGAATAAAATAAATTAGAAATTTAGAGTCTTGAGATGTCGAAAAACCAGAGAGAAAGATAGAAAGGGAGTACAAGATGAATGAAGGAAGATTTTCCGTATTTTTTGGAAAAAAAGTGCATAATGTTTTAGATTTTAGTGGTCTTTCAGATAATCTGAGGATCTCAAAAATCACCATTTTTTAATTTCTAAAGAAGGGGGAACAGTAGTTTAACTTTTATCTCGATTCCTGTGAAAGATATCAAAGAGTTGTCAACTGATAAAATGTTTATCATAACATCACCAATATCAATTACTACTTTTTTGATATCTCTCATAGGGACCGAGAAAATCGAGCTCCAAGTTGGGTGAGCTTCTATCAGAGGAAAGTTCTGTTTCACCACTTAAAAAATTGTATTTTTTGAATTCCCAAGTTTCTCACAATTTTTTCAGTATCCTTTCAATACAATATTTTTCTCCAAACAACAACCTCTTCACACTCGAAAACTACTGCTTTTGGCGGTCATTTGGAACCACTTGAGAGCATTTCTTCCCCATTGTTCTTTCTCTTGATGAATTATTACAAATTCATTATAACAAACTTCTTTATTATTTTTGTTTATATTCATAAATTCAACATCATCACATAAATTTGAGATTGTTTCCTGAGAGATTCAACGGGGGTATGCATTTATACTAGAGTTATACTAGATTTCACATCTCTTTAGAAGACGAATGACGAGCAAGTGATTCCGGCGTCGTTGGTGACGGAACAGAAGTCAGAATCCGACGAGGCGAGGTAGTCGAAATGTTGTTTGGAGCAGATCACAACGTATTCTCGCTCCATTTCAGCCTTCAGAAGAGCTACGACGGTTTCACGAGACTCCTTCTCATCGCTGGTCATTCCCTGGAATCATAGTATTGTTAGAAAAACTTCGTCCAAACGTTGATGGCTTAGAAACCCAAATTTTAGATTTTCCAGGCTATCTGAAAATGTGATATTTGAATTTGCCATCGTCGATTTAGTATACCCGCCATTTTTCAGTTCGATATGAGTGATTTGACTTTTCGGCCCCGCCCACTTTTTGGCAATTTTGCGGCGCGCTTTTTGAATTTTCCTTACCTTCTCAATGATATCTCTGACTTGAACACTGTTGCACAACACATCTCCACTTGACGCCTTCAACTCCATAGATCTCTTGGATCTTGCCCTCTTATATGGTCCAGCTGCTCCGTAAGATCCAGCATACGATGGTCCGGTAGAATATGGTTGTGGAGGTGGTGGTGGTGGGGGAGCATATGCTGGAGGTGGTGGTGGAGCTTCATATCCCCCTCCGCATGGTGGTGGTGGTGGAGGTGGTGGACAGCAGCATTGTTGTGGTCTCGGTGGAGCTAAACCCAATCCAAGGCCTTCTAGAAGGAAGGCTGACGTGGCAGTAGTCAGTGAGAGAATCACAAGAACCGAATTACGAACCATATTTAGATAGAGAGGAAATGGAATGTGTGAAATTCTAGAGTCGTTTGGTCACTTTTGTAGTATTTACTAGCCGAACAAGACATTAACCAAACTGAAGAGACACAGACACCCACAGCTTCATTATTACACTTTTCGTTGAAATTTGCCGAGAAGTGGCCGCCCGTGCTGTAACAAACCCATGATGAGTAATTGCTGCTTGACCCCTGTTCGAAGTCTGAAACTCAAGGTTAAATGGGGCGGGCACTTGCTGACCGGTTCAAATGTTTTTCGCGCTGCAGTTAGTCATTTGGAATTCAGAATCAAAATGAGAAGGTCACACAGATGACGTTGTGGAGAAGCAGTTGGGAGAGAGAGAGAGAGAGCGACTAGTTATTCAGTACAGATTTTATGATATTTCCATTTAACAGTTAATATATAGGCCACAGATTTCATCAGGAATCTTTTGAGTCCTTCTAGTTTTAAGCAACATAGAAAAGACAATGAGGGATATTGTCGTGATAATTAAATATGAGATCGATACAAAAGAAGGCGCGAAAATTGTGTTATAAACTTTTTTTTAGAGAAATTCTTAAATTTCGGTAGTGATAGGGGAGAAGAGGGTAAAAACAAGTGCGGTGGTGTCGCTCAACGATTCTTCACCAATATACAAACTTTGTGCTTGGGGTGACCAGAGGAACTTTGAGACGACTGGAACAATTAAAACATGGGTGGATTGGGGCCGAGAGAGATGTGAAGATGGAGACAGAGAGCAATGGAGAAAAGGACACAAGAAGTCAAGGGGTTTGAAAGACAAGTAATTTAAAAAAGGGTTTATTGCCGAGGACAAAAAGTTCTCAATTCTGCCTTCCCATGGCTTCGATCTTGTCCAAAACCTCATCGGTCAGGTGTGTCGAGGCACTTCCGAGCTTCGTCGATTGGTACTTGTTCTGTGATAAAAATATTATGATGATGCCCTAGAATATAAGTATTACCTTAATGGCAACAAGCTTTGGCTGCTTGAAGTTCTTGAAAGCAACCTGGGCGAGAAGAGAGATGGCCTCATTAATATCCTCAGTCTTGGCCTCGAGCTGGTTGCTGAAAATAATGACATAATTGAACCGCCAATAACCCTGGTAACCTACATCACAGCCTCCTGAGCCTTCTTTGGGTCGATTCCGGCGACTGGGTGAGCATTGAGGGCAATGATCATCGCAGCAATGGCAATGTGAGACTTTGGGACGGATGACATGACCGAGTCGAGGAGAGCGAGCTCTCCGAGCAACTTGCTGATGTTATAGGCGTAGTAGAAAGCTTGTTGGTCGACTGGGTTAGACTCATCCTCGGAGAGAACTCGGGAGAGGCAACGGGCGAAGACAAGGGATGATGGGCATGAGAGATCGAATTGCAGGGAGTTGAGGATAGTCTGTTCCATGGCCAGAATCTGTTTTTTGGTGAAGGTGTTCTCGGTGATGAACTCGTAGTCGTAGATGTCCGGAAGAAAAACCTCCTCGAACTTCGAAGCGACGAACATGGCAGAGATACCGAGAAGTTGAAGGTCAGACTTGGCGATGGTCTTCTTGGCAAGAATACGGTCCAGGATGAAGATGGTCAAATGAAGAGTCTCTGGGAGAAGATGGAATCTCAGATGAACTTGAACGAGCCAATCCACAAGAATACGACGCATTTTGCTTGTTGGCTCGCCGCCGTCCATGTATCCTTCCGCCAGAACAAACTGCTTCTCGTGGTACACAAGGTACTTGTATATATCCGGAGCCAATTCAGCGCACTTGATCTCATTGTCCTGGATGTTAATGCGTCTCGTCTTCAGCGTCGATTCACCGGCAGCCTGCTGCTGGATGTGGGTAGTTGGTTTGGCGACGATCTGATGCTGCTTGGGGCCCTGAGCGTTGACTGGCTTGAGTGGGCCATTCCCCATCGGCTTCTGAGCCATCTGAAATAAATCGATTGAACTGTGTTGATTTTCGAAGTCTGAAATCACCTTCAAGTTTTCCACATTGTTTGAGGGCCGCCTCGTATTGTTGCCGGCCCGCAACATTTTATTGAGACCTTCGGCTGCAAGATTCAATTCGTTTGTAAAATTAAACGGCATGAAAACGGTTAGATTCAAGAAATGAAAATACAACACTATTACCTTGGTTAGTAGATTGGTAAGTAAGATGCATGTTAGCGAAATAATCGAGATTGCTGGGGAAGATTTGCGAGGAGATCAATTGGAGATTCTATCTATCTAAAATACGCTATAATTTACGCTTAAATTCTGAAGGATCACGTTGAAAATTGCCCGCCTAAACGAAAAGAAGTGACCTGAAAACTGAACAACTAGGGGTGCGTAAGGGTGCGCAATGGTGTCCGATTCGAACGTTCCGCCGGCACTTTGTGTACACTAGAGCACGTTTCGCGGTCACCATGCAACCCGAATATCGATCGGAAAGGCACCTAGGAGGGTGGTAGACAGTTGTTGGTGTGTGATGGAAAGTGTAGCGCTTCTATTACGATGCGTGTGGGTGACAGAATACAATGTGACTACTAGCAAACAGGGAACGTTGATTGAGTGAGATAAGTAAGCGAAACTTTGGATGAAAACGACTCATTGAAACTGACAGAATTAAGCAAATGATTGAAACGATGAACTCGGAAGTGTGATTTGCCTTATTTTACCCGGGGAAATTCAAAAACTACCGCTCAAAATCCATAAAATGTAGGTCGAAAATGTTCTTAAAGCAGGCCTCATTTTTTGAAAACTTGAAACTAGCGGCGTCTAACGACACTCCGCAATAACGCAGTGCGCCTTGTTTAGCAGGTTTCAAAATTTGCCGCTAACTCAAAAATAGTTTTTGAACTGTCTCTTTTTTAAGTTTTCATCGTTCTTTCACTCTAAATTACAGAAAAATGGATTACAACGAGATGAAGAGGCTGAAAATGTTGCTTTTCAACAATTCAAAAGCAGTTTCCCATGTTCACGTCTTCGGGGAAGATGAAGGTAGTCGCAGCGAGATCGTTCGTCAAGTTCTCAAGAATCCAGAGCATGATTGGGTTAGTTTTAGGACAATGAATGCAGAATTATTGAACATATTCTAGATTTGTGTGTCTGGAGACTTTCTATACGCAGACGGATCTCTGAAATTGCTCCTCGAGTCGTTGGCAATCAGCCTTGGTTTCAAAACGAGAGGAGACAAAGCAGAACACTTTTTCAGTAATATATACTCTAAAGTAGAATGGTTTGTTGTAGATTTCATATTTTGTGAGCTCTATTGATTTTCCAGGCCTGACGAGTCGTCTAAAAAGCTAATTATCTTCCTGGATAATGCTCAATCAATCGTTGATTATCCACCAGCTCCGATGCAATGCTTTCTCGATTCCTACAAGGCAATCAACGATATGACAGTTCGATTCGTGACCAGTGCTCCGTCATGTTTCACACAGTATCATATCAATCTTAGTCACCTTTCTGTTATTGATTTCCACATTGCCACACCATCAATAGGTATCAGTAGAGAGATAAAAATATAGAAACAATAGAAATATCATTTCAGACACTACAAAAACTCTAATCACTAGAGCGAATCCATCAATTGATTCCCAATTTCTTAACTTTGCCATCCAGACGTTGGTAATTTACTGTAAATCACCCAACACACTTCTCGGAATTGTAAGGATTTTCCAACTCAAAATATATTATACACATTCTAATATTTCAGATCTCAGATGCATGGAAAATGTATGATAATCAGAGTTCTGGAGAAAAATTCGAGCCAACTCTGGCGAATGAGTGTATCGGAAGAGCGTCATCAGAGAAGCTCGGAATCGTTAGTGGAGAGAAGTCAGGAGAGAGAAAACCGGTTGAGACAAGTTTTGAGACAATGCCATTAGCGATGAGATATCTTTTGATAGCAGCATTCTGTGCCAGCAACAATCCACCACAGTCCGACAGTCGATACTTTGCAAAAGTAAGATTAGTTTTCCTCAGGGACGTTCAGAATGGGCTTTTCGGAGACGTCGAAAAATTCGAAATCGAATTCTTTCCCTTTTCGGAATTCCTTTGACGTAGTCCAAAAAACTCCAATTCCGAAAAAAATTCCCACAAAAAAGTGCCTATTGACCTAAAAATTTCGATTTTTAGAATCACGGAAGGGACAAGCGATCGGAGAAAAAAGAATTGCGTGCCGAGGAGCAGCGTCTTGCCAAAGAACTTGGACCGAAGGCGGCGGAACTTCAGAGAATCGTCTGTATTTATGAAACACTTTTGAAGCTGACAGAATCAACGAGTTGTGGATTTGATTTGAAAAATGTGGTAAGTTGCTCGGTAACCTATTTTCAAAATTGTATCTGGCTTCAATTGAAAATATAAAAATTGAAAAAATTGATCGGAAAATAGTGGATTCACACAACCTACAAGTTCCTGAACACAAAATCCCACGTTGTTCTTATTCTAGATCGCCTCGCTCGACTCGATGGGATTGGTTTCTGTGACGAATCGAAACAATTTGGATATTCCGAAAATCAAATGCCTGATCTCATTGGAAACTGCTCACAAAATATCCGGGTTAGTACCGTACCATATCCTGAAACATTTTGCTTCGCACGTTTGTTCTATGAGCATCTTGCATAGTTCCACCTGTTTTATTCTTCCTCCCTCACGAGTTATAGATTCCGAAGAGAATCGACCATATATAGTGAAGTAGTAGAATTTCAGCTGTCTCTTCCTTGCTAACTTCTCCTCACGAGACATAGTTCCAGAATGATTAGTAATTATTTTTCTATTTTTGCCAAGATCCTATTACTCATTCTGTTAAAAGCGTATTTTATGCATTTTTCTTGCAGATCGCTCAATCTGGAACTGCGGAACTACCTCGAATATGCCACCTGAAAAATATACATAACTTTTTCTCTTGTCTTTTGCAGTTTGAAATCAGAAACTCGAATAAACTGTTCATATTTTGTGCTGCTGTGTTGATGACGTGGGTGCAGAACTGCAGAATCTTCCGAATTCACCTGTCAATGTTGATCTCTAGCTCTTGTTTTATTGTGTCCCAAAAGTTCCCATGATCCCTCTTTTCAAGTCACCAGTTTTCATAATCAACCTATTTATGTTGTTTCATCAAAATAGAAGCAATTAAAACACTCAGCTGCTGCTCTTTTGAAATTCCACTCCTTTTCCAGACTTTTCCAATTAATGATGTCAGTGCATTTCTGCACACAAAAGGACTTTTCCACGTGCTCAGAGAGCAGCAGCCTCAGATAAAGAGCTGTTAGTCTTATGAGCTGCACTGACTCAAAGAGAAGATTAGATCATTGGATTCCAGTTGTTCGATGTTCTTGGTGCTATTGTGTTGAGAATAAAAAACAGGGGAAGTCTATTTGAATGTTATCAAAAAAAATTAAGATAATGTTCTTCACAAATCAGAATCAGTCTAGGTGTCTCATCATTTGATCTGATTGGGTTGGTGATTTCTGATCAGAGGTAAGAAATATTTTGAACTTGGAAAGAGTTAAAGGGGTCCGCCACTCAGACGCCAATCGTCCGTCAAGCAACTTTCTGGCTGAAAATTGACTTTTTGACATAAACATTTATGCTTATGGAATTATTCAGGGAGTCGGCAAAAAAGAAAAAAAAACTCCGCGAAAACTCCGAGAGTGTTCCAATCTGGCTGAAACTTTGGGGGGAAAACTGGAGAAAACTATAGTAAACATTTTGCCAAAGTTTAGGGTCAAAATATCGACGTTGAAAATTTGGCTGGAATTTTAGTTTTCCCCAAATGTTTCAACCAGATTGGAACACTCTCCGAGTTTTCGCGGAGTTTTTTTTCCTTTTTTGCCGACTCCCTGAATAACCCCATTATTGTGAACTCCACACTCGGAAACTCAAAAAATCGAAAAAAAGGAGTCTAAACGTACGCATTAAGCTTTGGTATCGTTTTCGAAATTTAACAATGTTTTCGATTTTTTGACACTTTTCGAGTGTGGGCCTATTTGAATATTCAAAGTACGGTAGACGGAAACAAATGAAAATTCAGATTGGTGTACAAAAATCACTATGCAAAAATGCGAAAAAGTTCTGAAACGTCGGGTTCTGAAATGTCAAGTCCTGAAACGTCGTTTTCTGAATCGTTCAGTAGCTGTGAAAACTCTGTCAGGCACTTAAAAATGGTCTCCGGGGTCAAGGTCTACGAGGTCTCACTACGAGGAATTTCAAATCCTCGTCCCCACTTGCCTTCCTTTTTAGAAAAAATTTCACTTTTAACGGTGCTTTTAGAAGATTTCTGAATTTTTAAAAATTTTTTCGCAATGATATAGGAAAATACATAACATTAGAAACATCTTGGTGCAATAAAATGTTTTGGTCGGAGTCCTCCTTTTATGAAAATATTAAGAATTCGGAAATCGAAATTTTGTAGGAAAGTACCAAAAAAAGGAAATCCAAAAGGTTTACAATTCTAAAATAAAAATTTTTTTTCGTGTCTATGAACTGGGTTACTGTAATATTTCACCTATTCCGGCTTGTATTAGTCAACGAAAACGCTACAAATTAATTTCCAGACGACGTCTTCTATTTTTTGAACAAACACACAAAAGTGCACCACAACAAAAACAACGAAGAGCGGGGGTGAGAAGAAGTATCTACGTGGATGAAGAAGCAGAAAAAACTCATTTATTACCACATTAACGTCATCCCGCAGAATTCAGATGAGAAAAATTGGAGTGTAGTAGTAGTAGTAGTGGGCTGGAAATTTGTTGCGGAGGCATAAATACATGTGCAGCACAAAAATAATTGAAAGTCCAGAATAGCATCCCGAATTTTTGGGTTTCGATAAAGAAGACAAAAGAAAGCGGGGGAGAGAAGAATTATACTAAATTTTGTATAAATTATTTTGAACTTTTTTTTGTGTGCATCTTGTTTTGATCTCAAGATGTGCTCATTGAAAATTAGTGAGAGAAATTCAATTGACAGGTTCCGAGAAAAAACACATTCAGCAGTGTGATGTTCAATTTAAAAATAGAATTTTGCTGAGAAGGTTCAGAAGGGTCATGCCTGGAAATTGACATGGTATTTGAACCGAGTATTATTCTGGTACAAAAATTGAAGCTGTGAAGAAAAGAAATGTCTTCGACCGTGGCCGAAGGTCCCAGAAAACCAATACCGTAACCTAATGTAAAATTATTTTCAGGATTTTTTTCGCCTTTTATCGGGGTTCAGAATTGTAGGAAAATCGAGAAAACAAATCCTGAAACATAAATATTTTTAGGTTACTGTAGTTATCGTTGTGGGATCACGGCCACAGCTTCTATTTTTTCGTACTAGAGTAATAGTCCCCGTCTCCTTCTTATTGGTTCTATGAGTTCTGCAGATTCCGAATATTTCGAAATTCCAGCCCACTCACTTTTTGCTCCACCCAATAAAAGCTCCAAACTTTTTTTTCTCGAAAAAAATTTACTTCCTCTGAAAAAAAGATTTTAAAAACGATTTCAAAACGGCTCTCTCTCTCTCTCTCTCTCTCTCTCTCTCTCTCTCTATCTCTCTCTCTATCTCAATCATCTGGAAATGGACCATTTTAAGTGGGGACCATTACCCGAAGAAAAACTTTCCAAATGGCCACTTCCTTCCTCTTCACTGGTTTCAGTTTTTTGTGCGCACGGACAAAAAAATTGACTTGATTTCTGAACATTTTCGATGGAATCCGTTGGCTTTTTATTATTTTCCGTAGATATGAATCTAGGAAGAAGAAGAATAAGAAGATCCCAACCAATAAAACAATGACGTCTAGACGTTTTTTGATTCCTCTTTTTCATTTTTCGTAAAAACGACTTCCGCTGTTCTTATTCTTCTAGTTTTCCAGATGACTTTGAAAAATAACGAATTTCAAAAACTCTTGCTTTTCATTCGCCCAAAACAAGGAAGATTGGATTCTAGCATCAAGCAAAATTTATTCATACAAAAAAGAAGGGGAGATCATTTTTCGAACGAAATTGCAAGAACTGGACTGGGAACAAAGCTGAAAAAGAAACTGGCTGAAACTGGGGGTCAAATCCACGTATATCACAACTTGAGAGGGCGAAAACCGGTAACACACTTACAAAAAATCCGAGACTATTATCGAAATATCTAGCGAGGACTACGGTAATCAAAATATACAAAAAGAGAGTAAAAACTGAGCTGGGGAAAAAGCAGGAACATGAATACAGTACCCGGAGAATACGGTAAGACGAAGAGAGATTCTATTCAAGACGTTTAAACCGTTTAAAAGAGCACTTGTTGTAAAGAAGGGAAGAAGGAGAAGAAGCATTTAGAAGACGTTCAATCCACGTACTTCAAATTTTTGTCGGAGGTGTCGAGTGTGACGACGTGGTGTGAAGAGTTTCAGGCATTCCCGGAATGCGTCAGTTGTGAAACAATCAGCTCTGAAAATCAAAAAATTAGGATGCTTCAGGAAATTTTTAAAAAATTAATAAAATCAAAAATATCTAACCTGCACTCGATCCTCATATTGGGCCTTTCATGGGAACTTAATTCATGACACATATCGCAAATTCTTTCCATAACTTCTCCAACTGGTTCATCTTCCAGCGCAGGACAAGATGGTAAATTATCTTCAGGCCTAATCGTTGCATCTTCCAAAATAATACGGCATTCCGTTACAGTAGTAGCCATAATAAGATACATCAAAAATACTTGAAAATGGCCAGGAATCATTATTTAAAACCTTAATAAAAGCTTTGTTTTTTGAAAAGCTGAGAAATTGTTTGAGTGATGATGAGGAGAAAGGGCACACCAGGGGCGGTATTTATATTCTCCAATCCCTTCTCAGAGGCTCCGCCCCCTTTGGAATTTTCAGTGAAAACCTTCGAAGAGACGCAGACAGGGGGTAATTTTTTGCGTGCTGGCGGCTTCCGCGCGGGCTTAACCCCTGGGAAAAGGGGCGGAGCTTGGGGAATGCGGCGCAGGAGTGTGTTCAGGAAAAGGCGAACATGGATTCGGTGGATTTTTGATCAGGACACAGAAAATTAAAATGGAATTTTTGATATTTGGTAGGGTAAGAAAAGGGCGCTTTTGGTTATTTCAGCTGCGATCTGATCGAAAGTCTGGAAGTTCGAATAATGGTTCTGGCTGTCTAGGGCAAGGCGTCTCGAGCCGTGGGTATGTTGTAGTGGAACCAACTGTTAAAATACACTTCTAAGGCCACTAGGTCGCGGAATCCTAATATGGGATTTACACACCTTTCAGTAAAAAAGGTTCTTACTAAAATTTCGTATTTTGAGCGAAACAACAAGGGAGGTCCATGGGAGTACTCTAATTTCAACTTGAATCTTTTAGCGAGGATGCAGGGTTTTTCTTCTGAATGGAACATTCAAAGTAGTCCCGTTCTATCTGTTCAACCCAAAATGGTTCTCTTCAACATCGTCATCTACGGTAACCCATATTCCCCTTTTTCCCTTTCATCCTTTCCTTCCAATTCCAAAGATCCAAAAACCACTCCAACAACCTCATCGAACAGTCTAGTCACTTGGAGAACCTTTCAACCCTCTCCAGATGATTTTTAACAAGAGGCATCAAGACATTTTTCGGTGACGTATGATTGCGACGCCCATCTTTTTGAATGGGTCGTATCGTCAGTTTTGATGGAGAGGTTTCTATGTGGACACTTCAGGAATTTCGGGTGGAGCGAAAGATCAGGCAGAGAATCGAGAAGAGACCAAAGGTTTCTCGAGAATCCAAGATCGGATGGTTTTTTGTTTCCTGAAATTCTTCTTCTCTTTAAATCAACGTACTCACTCAGAGTTCACATTTGCAATATTGGATATCAATATCAAAAGTTTCCACCTGTTTCCATTTAAGACGTCATATTCAGGTTCCAGGTTCAATGAAGTCAGAATTCATTGTCTACTTTAGAGTACTTGTCATCTGAATTCCAGAATTGCCATCGTTTACAGATAGAATAGAAAATATAAAAGTTTGATTTACCGAGAATTGTTATTTTCATCCTTTTTTCTCCCCTTTTGAATCAAATAAGGAACACATTGAGCTGTGTTGTTTCCCGCGGTACAGAAGCCGAAGAAAAAGATGAAGAAGACGTCATTTCAGATTCCCAAAGAGTAAATCATCAAAATTTTGAAAATGCCCTTTAGAGAGTCTTCAGAAGATCTTAAAACGCTGAAAATAGAAAAATGTCAACTGATTACACAGGTGAAAATATACAAATGGTGAAGGAGGAAACTCTGAAAAAGTAGCAGTAGTAAATTTTTTTCTGTGCACAAAAAAGATCAGTCTGGTTTTACAGGAATCAGACTACATTCTCCAAAAATACGAAGGAAAAGTTTCAAAAATTTTCAGATGAAAAATATTTCATATTATCATGTTAAATCTATCATTAAAATGTCTCTTTGGGGCCTTTAGGATTCTGAAATGTTCTAGAGCTTTGCATCCGGTTACTCAGGTTGGGGATTTTCTCGAATCTCAGGTTTCATTTTATACTCTAATTTTTGGTTCTCTTATACCTCCTTGAACATTTTTGTGTATAAATTCGAAATTGGATTTTTACAAACAATGGGAATATTGATGTCACTTTCTCTTCCTTTATTGCAACTCTATGATGATATCATTGAAGAAGGCTCCATCTGATGATGTTCCTGGATTCTCAATTTGCAACAAACAAATTCAGAGAAGCGACACAATTTCAAAATGTCAATTTCTCTTAATTTCAGGTGGCTCACTCAACTTCCCAAATGACGTTTTTTGGCTCTTCTTCTCGGTGACCTACTAAATTGAACTTAATTTTTTTCACGGAAATTTCTAAAAGTGTGTGTGCATATTCCTCTCTTGAAATGGTCACTTGCTGTGGTGGTCACTTTTTCTTCCTGTTCCAGAATTAATTTTTTGTGTGAGGGTGGTGTGGACAGATTCAGATGCCGATTTCACGCCATTTGAAGTTTTGCTCCATTAAGTATTCAGATGCAACAACAACAACAACAACGAAGGAAGGAACTAATTTAAGAATTGGATGGGTCCATCTATTCTAGGCGATTCATGGAAATTATTAAAAATGGAGAAGGAGGAGGTGGTGGCTGATGTCAAGGAGTTCAAAGGCTATTCTGGGTCTGGATGGAGTCCAAAGTACTGGGAAATGATTATCTAGGATGTTAAAAGTTCCAAAAATCAGAAAGATTCTTAAGACAGTGTTTCTGATTTTTCTTGATTTTTCTCTTTTATCAGTTGATAACTTTTTTATACCTTTGACATAAATTGGCTTAAAATTGAAAATGAGGGGGCGTTCGATTACAGGTTGTAAGGCTGCTACAGTAACCCAAAGCTGTAGAAAAAATGTTGTATAGTTTAGTGGCCGAGAAGCCTAAATTCGGATATCCTAGTCCGTCTCATCTAATCCATAGATCCCTTTTTCCTCCGTCTCCTTCTTTTGGCAAACTTCTAAGAACACCACGCTCCCAATTGTTTTGTTTTTGCACAAACTATCTTAATCTCGCAAGCACTCCAAGAATTCAGGAGTCATCATCATTCCAGAAGACGTCACACCGAAAATTTTTGAATCTTCAAAAATACATTGCATATTCTCGGAATGAGTCACTTCCCGCCCCTCTAAACAGAGAGAGTTAGACGGACAGAGAGAATCCCGGGGTCGTTTTGAAACAGGAAATAATTAAAGAGGCGAAATGAATAGAGATGATCAAGAGGGGGCAAACATAAAGATAACTTCTTTATATGATCATCACATGGCCTGTATAACACGTAGTGTGTAAGGGTGTAACACTGAAAAAAAAATACTGTTTCCTCTCTGTGTCAGAAGACAGGTTGAGGTCCGGAATGGGGAATTAGGGGTTAGTTGACGAATTGACATTTGAACGGGGAGAATAGGTTTTTTTTAATGGTCACTGGAACATCATCACTAGATCATCTCTCGACAACAACCAATACACAAAAGACTACAGTAATCATTCAAAGTCTACACGCGGAGTTGAGCTGAAGGAAACCTCTCGTTCTGACTTGAAGATTTTGGATCACTTCTCTTGAAGAGAAATCCTCAAGTTTTCGAAAATTTACAATTTTCGTCATTTGTTTTTTGTTCTTAAATGCACGACGTTGTTCGACGCGAAACAATAGGGCTTCAGGGGAAGAGAGAGCAAAATATTTTATTCAAAATTTTAGATTTTGAAGTGAAATTTCTTGAACTGACCAAAAAATAGTTCCAAAAAATAATGTAAGCCCCTAAGCCCTTCGAGGAGTTGGACTTGTGAAACCAACTCTGGAGGTGCCGTGTCACTGCCGGCTGAGCTACGGTGGCGCAAGCTGAGGCATTAAGTATTGTACAACATCACGTCAAAATGAATACCGTAACTCCAGAAAATTTCCGAAGTCCGTTTCCTTTAAAATGTGTCAAGGTTTCTAAAGTCAACGAATAAGATCAGAACTCAACTGAGTTCTGAAATTCATTTTGGAAAGAATCGAGAATTTACAGTTGTGACATGGACTAGGAGATAATAAAATCAGGCCTGGGAAGGATTTCCAAAAATTATGAATCCTGGTAAACAATAACTCCTAGGTAAATCCTAGGTAAATAGCTCATTTGCGTCTGACCTGAGTCAAAATCTATTGTTATTATTTATTTTCAACTCTTTTTCTGGGTAACCCACCCACCGCAATACCACGAAAACCTTTTGAATAAAATGACTATTCGGCCGATTAATCCAAAAATCTTCTCTATTGTGCTATTTTCAGAAATTCTCATGTGCTACGCTGATTTCAGGGGATTAACATCATTCGAGTGGGTGAATATCTTATTCAAAAGGGATCCCCGAAGAAGTGGGTCGCCATCAAACATCGATTGGCCTTATGACGTAGAATTTCAGAATCCACCTGTCGTCGGATACCGAAATGTTTCTGGCTTCTTGTTGACCTTCGGAGCCATTCCTCCTCGCCCGTCGGCGTTTTCTGATCATATACAAAAGTATGTGAAAAACGCGAAAAATGATGACGGGTAATTGTTCTCGACCATCACCAAATGCACTGTTGTGATTGCCTCCTCCGAGAAAGAAAACGTTCTCACCCGTTTTCTATTGTTTCTCTTGTTCTTCATGTTCATTTGCATACCTTTCGTTTCTCTATCTCAGCGTCATTTCCGTCTGTCTTCTCTAGCCAACACTCTCTACAGACAGTACTCTTTCGGAATCACTCGGTTCGTCTCAAGAAGAAGATTAAGCTGCGCATAGAGATATTAATGTTTCGAATTCTTCAAATTTCTTCCATGCCAATCGCAAATTTTAGTACCGAAAAGAAACCCGGGAAGAGAGAGGGATAGGGGGGGGGGAATGTGGAATTGAGAAAAACAAAAAACTCGGGGTGTATGGATTTTGACTGGAATCGGGCGAGAGGGATCAAGGATGGATGAGATCGGATTTTGGCATTTCGACTTCGGGACATCAAACTATACAGTTTCAGGATTCAAGTGTCCCAGCGAAGTTTCTGAGATGCTTTTTCAGAAATACAATTCGGAAATACAACCACATGGACATTCGAATAGACACTTTTTCAGCAACAAAGGTTTCTTTTTAATATTTCCGATGTCCAGAGATCCTATATTTTTGAACCGCTAGCCATTTTCAAGCCAAGATGTTTCGGGTGGAATCTTGAACGTTTAATTATCTTTAGGAAATAGGCCAAATACAATTTCTGATGAACGGAAGTAAACAATACAGATTCATGATTGTTCAGATACTTCAGAAATGTTAATCCAGATATTCAGATATTTGGGGTTTATGACATATAAAGATGTCAAAGTTCCGGATATCTCGTTTGAAATACATAAAGGGGAACTCTAACCAAAAAATGTTATTGTATAAAAATGCAAAAATAAATCCAAAATCACCGTCAAAAATTACAAAGGGTGGCGAATAGGGACGAAGGCTTGACTTTCGGCGCAGTGAGAAACCTAGGCCACGGCGTCGGGCCGGTTTCCTTTTAGGTGGCTGACAGTGATTTTTAACTTTTCTCATGTAAAAACCTCAAAAAATCCGAAAAAAATGCTACCAAAAAAGGGCGGCCCGCTGACATGGCCTGGGTTTCTGACTGTGCACGCTCTCCCACAGAACAATTCCGAACTGCAAATTAATTTTTGATCTACAGAAAAAAAGTTTGACGCGATCACAATTGCAGGTCTAAAACCATAATTTCAGAATTTTTTATCTGATTTTGTGGAGTTCCAAGATGATTCAAATGGTTCTTAAAAAATCAATTAGTGGTTATAGATTCATGTATGGTCGTTTTCCGGAAGAAAAAAATGTCAAAAATGGTCGTTTTGAAAGTTTTTTACAGAAAAAAATCTATCTCCTCTTTCAGTTTTTGACATTTCTAGGAGTTCTATAGCTCAAAAAAAAACGCAATTATTTTCTCTACATTTTCTATGGATGAATTTTTAATTCGTCTGATAAAACTTTTTTTATAATCAAAAAACAACGCAAAAATGCTATTTTGTGCAATTTCG